CTCTCTGATGGCTTCCAACACATTCCCCCCACCTCCTACACCTAACAGGCAGTTGTCTGTCAGGTGCAGCCCCATCTCCACCGTGGCTTCTAATACTCCCCCCTTCCCCTCCTACACTGGGCAGGCAGGTGTAGGAGTGGAGGTGGGATGGCTTCCAACACACTCTCCCCACCACCTACACCTAACAGGCAGTTGTCTGTCAAGGGCAGCCCCACCTCCACAGTGGCTTCTAATACTCCTCCCCCTCCTATACTGGACAGGCAGCTGCCTGTCAGGTGTAGGAGAGGAGGTGGGATGGCTTCCAACACACTCCCCCACCTCCTACACCTAACAGGCGGTTGTCTGTCAGGTGCAGCAGTGGTTGTAGGGTGCTTAAAGCCATGAGGGAGCCTGCCCCAGCATTAACGCCTTAGTGATCCTGCCAGTCCTGCCTCCACAGTGGCTTCTAATACTAGCCAGCATTTGTATTTCTACTGCTGATTTGATTTTCCCCCTTTGATTTGATATCATCCTTTTAATTCAGTTGGTTCAATTTTTCAAAGAGAACATTTTGCATCAATTAATTAATATTTGTATCCCATTTTTTCTCTCCAAATCCATTTACAACATTGTACCTTGCACTCATTTTATCCTCGCAACAATAATCCTGTGTGGAAGGTTAAATGAAGAGAGAATCACTGACCCAAGGTCACCCAACAAACTTCCGTGGAAAAGTGGAGATTCAACCCTGGATCTCACAAACACTAGATTAACACTCTAACCACTATATAATTCTGGTTATTACATCACATTTTAGGACACCACTAGCAAAAGGTATGCATGATCTACCAAAAAGTGATCTTGCATGTCTTGTGTTCCTTTCCGTTGGGCTAGCGTAAGTGAACTTACTGGTGCACTTTGCTTATTATCCTTTCATTTCTATAATGTGACTCTGGAGTTTATTATATTTTCTATGTAATCATTCTGTATAGCTCTCAATGATCTCTGGCTGGTGCTAAAGTACATGTCTAGTTCTACAGAGCTGGTTATGGGAAGTATATAATTAGCTAGTTTATTGAAATATTCTCATGTTTTGGTGGTTAATCTTTCAGGTAATGAGTCAAAACAGTATGCCCCCTTTTTATGCTGACTTCTGTCTATGTAATCAGAACTGGGATAAAGTTGAATATGTAATTAAATAATTTGCTCTTTTAAAATTATTGGACTGCATCCACAGGACTACAGAAGCATATAATGGCAGTATAAGCTGTTTTAAAGTATTATTTAAAATATGCTGGAAAATATAGGCTCTTATTTTATTTATTTATTTTATTGGATTTGTATCCTGCTCTCCCTGTGTCCAGGCTCAGAGCAGGTAACATCATAATAAAACATTCTAAAACATAAATACAATAAATATAATAAAATACCTAATAATATATGATAAAATACATTATAAACTAACAATATAATAGAAGATGGCATAAAACTCAGGGGGCAGTGGTGTATAATCTGTTTGGTCTAAAACGGGAGGGAGAAAAGGGGGGGAGGCAGCCAATCAAAGATGAAATCCATTGTTGTTCTCAACCATAGACCCAGGGAAACAGCTGTTTTACAGACCCCGCAAAACTGCATTAAGCACACCAGCAGAACGAAAACTGGTTTCCACACTGAGAACCACTGCCTTTCCCCTAAGAGTTACAGATAGAAACCCAGTTTGTGAATTCAGATGGTCTCCAAATGTCATTGATCGTAACTGGATCCATTAAGATCACCAGTTTCAGGTGTAATATGTGATAGCTTTGTTGATCACTTTTCCTGCATGCAACATCCATCAACAGAGACAAGCTGCTTGTATGAAATGTGCTTGAACTAAGTTGGCTTCAGAAGAGAACCTTTCCAGAGTTAGCAGTGGTTTGTTTTCTGTCTACAGGTTTGTTTGTTTATTTATTTATTTATTTTTGGATTTATATCCCGCCCTCCCCAAAGGCTCAGGTGTTGCCCCTAAGGGTGTCCTTGAGCCTCCCCCCTCCGGTGAGACCCATGTTCTTTGCACCCCAAGATCCTTTGGTCTTCAGATGCCAGAGGTATGAGGAAAATTCAGACAGTTTGATAGTAAAACAAGGTATTGCTCTTAAAGCTGGAAGTCCCCCTAGGTGCTCTCAAAAGAGTTGCCTGGTGGCCTTAATTCTCCAGGAGGACATTAATCAAGGCTTTTTTGTTTGCCCCTCCAAAGCGCATCACATCCATGACTATAAGTAACAACCCAGGTTTGCTGGACAATAACCAATGCAAACTTACTTAGTAATTCAGTCATAAGCCCCAGAAGGAACATCAAGCCACCTCCTGGCCTGTGTCACAGACCTTAACTCAGGTAATCCAAAACAAGAAATAAATTCCATGTAATATCTTTTATTAGGCCCAACCGAAATAACATAAACTATTGTGCAACTCAAAAGTTTTGGTTGTTCTCTTGCTTGGGGAACATACTGATAGGGGCATAATCTCTCCTGACATTCACATCACCAGTTCTCCCTCTCTCAGAATGGCCCCTTGAAAATCCAACTGGCTCCTAAGTTTTGCAAACATTGTTTCATCCATGGTTGTAGTGTTGGTGCTGCATCATAGTACTGGATCATGAAAGAGCTCCAACAAGGGCAATAACAACAACTTCCAATCATGACTTAAGTTAGCTTGTATCCGGTACACAGAAGTTCTAATGTAACTGCCAGCTTTTTAAGCAAGACATTTTGACATTTAGCATTAAGTAGGAGAAAGGAAATTATTTGTGTTTGCTGCTGTTCTTCTCAGGTTTATAATTGGCCGAGAAAAGCCAGGACAAGTTAGCGAGGTGGCTCAGTTAATTAGCCAAACTCTGGAACAAGAGCGTCGCCAGCGAGAACTCTTGGAACAACATTATGCACAATATGACGCAGATGATGATGAGGTAATGTGTTTTGTTAGCCTTCCTTCTGCTGTAACTTCATGCTGTAACTTCCCTTTCCATGTCTACTTGCATTTCACGCTCTGTGATGTTTTGTCTAATCACAGTGGGAAACAGTTGCTTTTGCAATTGAAACAAATCTCTCCCCCCCCATGTGTGAACATTATCACAGCCATGCTGTGCACATAAAAATGCATTTTAAATATGCAAGATTGGGGGGGTGTACCCTGGAGTTACAGAGAATAACTGCTCTCCTAAATAGCAACTAGGCATACATATTGTTCCTTATGTGTGTGTTCCTCGAAACATTCTTATACTGTTCTCAAATCCTTAATCCTGTGAACTCTACTTGGATTTTAAAAAATTTCCAATCCTCACAGTTTTGGAAAGTGGTCATCAAAATTGCTAAAGAATAAGAAACAAGGGAGTCCCAACTTTCATGACTTTTCGAGGCTGAATCACATTCATTTGATACAGAAACTGCAGTTTTTCATGGTAAATGTTTCTTGTGAATGTATTTGATGTAGCAGCTATTTGTATTTACCAAGCCAGAGAGTTTCTTAGTTCCCAACTCCTGTTTATATTATCTTGGTTGTCACTGTGTACAACACATTTATATAGATATTTTCTACAACAAATTAACAAAGTCAAATTGGAGGAAAAAAATTCCAAGCCCTGTTCAGACAGTACTTTGTCTCTAAGGTTCTTCCTAGGATGATAGTGGGAACAGGCCTGGGTTTTCACAGTTCCTATCTCATTCCCATTGCTGTAGATAGAGAAAATGGAAAGAATTCTTGGTTATCTTTGTATAATCTTCCCAAAGGTTTAGCAAAAAATTAACAGGAAATGATCTGTATGAGGCCGAGGTTCCTTTCCAAGATCATAACAGGTGTATTCTCAAGGAAAACTTATTGGCTGAACAGACCTTCATGTGGCCTCTTTTCTACTATATAGTTTGCCATTTTCTGTGTTCATAAAAATTAGATGTAAGTTATGTAAATTCCATGTAACTGAAATTGGCACATTATCTTTAGCTCTCAAAACCTGCAACTAACTCACCTATATGCCTTAATACTAAAGGAGTTTCTTGCCTCTAGTCTAGAAAAAAAGAGAGAGAAAAGCAATATTTATATAATTAGGAATAAAAACTTATAACTAGTACATTACCTGAATTAAAAATTACCTTGTATTCCATTGGTCATGATGAATGACATTTTTGGAACTCTTTTGTTTCTTGTTGAAGATCATGTTGCCTCTATTAAGAGTGGGATTTGTTAATACACAGAGGCACTATTTTCTCTCCAGGAAGAGGATTATTTTTATCTTCCTGTAATTAGTTTTGAATGTGTGGAAGGGAGATGGGTACAACCATGATACATATTTTATCTGCTCCTACACACACACATATGGAACAACACATTTTATTTATATATGTGTGTTTGTGTGTGTGATGTTAATTGGCAAGTTCTATAATGAGGTCTATGCTCTTTCACATCTACATGAATATGGACTAGCATGCAGTCCTTACTAAAACTCATGTACTGAAATCCTATTTGCCTACCTCTTCATTTTTCAGAATGTACATTTCAGTCATTGCTCTGCATATTGGTTTCTTATTTCCTTAAAACTCTCAATGACTTAACAGGATCAACTATCGTTGTATATATCAACTATCATTAGATCAACTATTGTTGTATATATTTGACCCACTGGTCTAACTCAAACTGGTGTGCGACACAAAATAGATTCTGGCCCAATAATATTCTGTATGGTCAGGCCTGATTCAGATATAAGCATGCACTTATAAAGCCCCAGGCATCTAGTTAGTTTTCCTGTATCAGTTCATTTAATTCCTGGCCAGAGGTACACCTCAACGTTTTAGGTTTGTGGTGGGTCTAGTATACGACACAAGTGATACTATTCGAAAATCTCTGCTTCCATTTTAATATTTTATTAAAACTATTTTAGTATTTAAAATTTAATTTAATCTTTAAAATTAAAATTATTTTAATCTTTTATTAAAACATAGCTAGTATTTTGACATTGTCTAACTTAACAGAAAATTATATCACCATCCATTATGGCTGCATAGATAATTAAAGGTGAACAATTACTTGAGTCCGTTAAAATATCTTACCCCATCCTGGCTGGCATATATTGAGAAGATTAAACTTGAGTATTTCTGAGCAAAGGGAGAAGATTAGTCAAATTGGCTTATCCTTAGAGTATTTCTACTCACTGGATGAAGTCTCTATTTTCCAGATTATTAAACGGAGACTGCTTGACCTGGAACTTCAAGTCTTACGTCCTACACAATTTAGCATATTTTCTCAGGCTCAGTTGAATCTCCCAATTCAATATGGCCAGATGGCCCATTATCTTCACAACTTAGTCCAGCCTTCGCACCGTAGAGCCTTTACACTAGCCTGACTAAATGTGTTCCCTTCAAAAGAGCTTTCAGGTCGGTTTAAGAAAATTCCCTTTCATGAAGGGTTATGTTCTTGTCCTTTAAAATCTGTGGACTCAATGTATCATATTATGTTTGACTGTCAATTTCACTCAGTCTTACGCAAAGAATTATTGTCATCTTTATTTCCTCCTAATTATAGTTCTAATAGGGAAAAAGTTATTCAAAATCTACTAAAGGATGCTAATCCTAATATTACAGCTATAGTGGCCAAGTTTCTTACCGAAGTAGTGAAAGATAGATCTATTCTAGTAAAGGATTGATTCATATTGCTTATAATGTCTTATATATCCATGCCGTGTTATTGTACATCTATGTATCTTACTGCTATGCTATTAAAGGTATTTGACTTTTGACTTTTTGAAAATATCTTACCCAAATATAAGCACGTCACAAGAAGGTACCCCTTCTGAGAAGTGCCAGTCAGTTGAGCTTTCCATATCTATATTTTACCCTGTGGGCCCAAGAAACCAAGCAGCAGTCTTTAGGTCTTTGGTTTGTGTATAATTATCCACTAGATGATTGTAAAGGGTAAGCAAAATACATGACATTATTGACCATAATATTATTGCACAGAAGAGCTGTTATTTAATGTTTGTTGTCAAATCTTTTAGAGTACTGAGAGAGAATTTCATGGAATCTTAGACAACTACAGTAAAAATAACAACTGTTACCTTAAAAAGGTTTGTGAAGAAAATAATTTGTCTCTTATTTGTCACTTGCTATACTATGTACTTAATACAATTTAATAAATGGCTTTTTGAGTCTGCCTAATTTCTTAAGCACTACTAATGCTGCAGTCCCTCAGAGAGGCAAAAGATGATCCCGTGTTGAGATATTTCTTGTGTTTGTCTGAGATTATTTGGGTTGGTGGAGTTAACTACATTTGTTTAACCTAGAAGGTGGAAGGTTGCTTGAGGGAATCCTGGAAATCTTTACACAGTTTCATTGAAGCAAGTTAGATACTACTAGAGAAACCTGGGAAATGTGTTTTAATTGTTGTGAGCAGAAACAAATGGCTACTACCAACGCATGCATCTACCATACATCTTCTTTGAATCATTTTGCAAAGGAAACCATGTGATATGATGTCATCCTATTTACTGTTTTCTCGTTCCCCCTGCAAAGGGAACTGAGTGAATTGGACTATGGATGAGGATTCCCTGAAAGTAAGGACCTCACATCATGTATTTTGGTTATTAGATGTTACCAGAGAGGGCCAGTGGTAGCCATAGATCCTCTGATGCTTGGTGGGGTCTTTATTCAAACCTTATAAATGGAAGTCCTTCAGTGAAACTATGTATTGCTTTGCTTTTTCTAACCCGGTAGAAATTACAAACAGCTGTAGACATTCTAGCCTCACCATACTAAAACAAACTTCTGAACTGATTTTCATAGTAACTTCTGTGGGGTTTTAACAGGAGGTAGAATCCATGAGGTCTGATGGACAATTCTGCAAAGAAGATACTTCAAAGATTTGAGCGAACATGATGTTTTTCCAACTCTTCATTGGCTTTTCTACCCTTCATGTTCTTGTGACATGGAAGTGTCATAAATAGGGTTTCACCTACTTGCATAAGTTAGGCTAGAGCTTGGCTAAATGGATAGATTAAATGGACAGTGGTATAGGCAAACAAGAATGACTTAGTAATTAAAGGGGGAAAGCAATTTTTGAGATCCCATTTCACCTTTGACAGTGGCTGATTCACACATTATAGATTACAAATGCTGGGTCTGGGGTCTCCATCTTATGTAGGTCAGGTGTGAGCTGTGGGTTCCCCTCAATTCCTGCATGTACAATGGCCAATTTTGATTGAGGCTGTGGCATGCATGGAGAAAGGGCTTCATTGTCCCCCTCCCCCATGCCATGTTTTTAACCTGGTGGGCATACTTCTGCCCACAGAGAAACTGTTCTGGGGCAACTCCACTGAGGAGAAGAGAAAACGTCCATGTATGCATGAGCAGGGCCATAAGGTCTTTGTCTCTTCAGCATGAAAAGAGGAAGTTGGGCACTTTACTAACTAGCCAAAGTAAAGGACAAAAGAAGTCTCCCTAGCTATAGGCAGGGACCCTGACTCAGAGTCCAATCCAGGGGCTGCTACAATTGAGATCCATTATTTTAAAGGGCAGTGTAGGAACTGGTTCTCTGCCTAATAAAGTTGTTTCAAAGAGAAATTAAGATAACCTTGGAGGAAGGCTGGGACACGCATCACAAAATGTGAGAAGTAATAAAAGCCATGTGATCATGTCTTTTCTCTCCAAGCTGTTCAGAAAAAGGACACAGTACATTTTTTAAAAAATATCTTGTTTTCTTAGCTATTCATCTTCTGATGTACTTCTAGGATTCAGAAACTGCACCTCCTTGGCATATTTCTATAAAATATTCTACCCCTTGTTATCTGCTCCTGCCTCTTTGTTCAAATTACTCATTTTATTTGCGGTGTAGATTGGTTTTGTAAATTGTAATGCAGTAAATGCTGTATCTGTCACTGATGAAAGTAGATGCCATAAATGCTTCAATTCTCTGCCACTAAGACAGGGGAATATGCGACAGATGAAGATGATGATGATATGGGACCCATCCTTCCAGGAGGCGATATGGCAATTGAAGTGTTTGAGCTTCCCGAAAATGATGACACGTTTTCCCCGACAGAACTGGACACCAGCAAATTGGCTCACAAATTCAAAGAGGTGAGCCTGGAGAGTTTGGCACTGATATTCAGACGGTATTGATTCACATCATCTCATTTGTTCAGTGATCTGGGCTTCTGTCTCTGAATGATTTGAATTGATTTCCCACTGGCTTGTAAAATCAATGTATGCAAATAGCATGAACTAAGTGAGACAAGTTTTGCCAGGTCTTTTAAACATTCATTGCAGGAATGGGTCATGATGTACTGCTGTTTTGACAGTGATTCACAAACATGCTAATGCTATTTATTAAAGCAAATTCTGCTTTTTCAAAACCACTTTCGGAGGTGGCTATGTTGTTTTCAGTGAAAGTCCTTGTGAGTAAGTGGTTAAGGGCTTGGTGCCAAAGAATCAGCTATAATTTTATCCAGCTTCTCTTCCCTGTTAAGCCGGCTGACAACTATTCAGCTTTCCTTTTCGACTGTGCTTTTACAACAGAATCCCAGGATGTAAATACTGCATTTAAAATACCTGTGTATATAATCTCCACTTCTAAATTCAGATTAAATGTCTTGGGCTTTATTTTATACCCTAAAAATGACGTCTCTGCAAGTGAATATTGCAGTACAGTATACTTGACCATATTGTCTTAAGAACAATCATTGCCTGGAAAAAAGAAGCATGTCATTACTTTGGGCCAGATGGCTTTAGATTCCAAAATAGGTCATGATTGGAAGGTGCTGTTAGTTCCTCAGTGAAGTCAAATGGAAGATATGTCTGGGATAACTATTGCATCTCCTTTATCTTGTGGCAGAGCTAGATGTGGTGGGGCTACCATGTATATTTATTCACACATGTACCTCATTCACGTACAAAGCAAGGAGTGCAGGGATCTATTTTTCACATGAAATAGTGGGTCCCTGCCTTACCCTGCTGTGCTTTGTGGCTTGAAGCACCTTTCTGCAACTGAGCTCTGATATTGGAAGGAAGCCCAGCTGAGAAAAAGAGCATGAAACTCAGCCAGGGAAGATGGGGAGGGGGACTCCAGCAATCCCCAGACCACTTAACCTGTAACTTATTTCTTCTCATGTAAAACAAATCCCTTTCACTGTGTATGTAAATGGGAAAGGCAGAAACGTGAATGAATAGTGAGTGTCACTTCACACAAGACACACTTGCAAAAAACAATCCCTTCTGCACTCCCAATGTTCATTGTCATCTGTGGTAAGCACACTCACATGCCTGTTTTTCTATATGTACAAAATACAAGTGTATGTGTCAAAATACCCTCCCTCTCACATGAAAGTGAGAGTTTTCTGTGTGGAACAGTCTTCAGTCCCTGAACTTTGGAAGTTATGTTTGCTTCCCCAAAATAGTAGTAGTTTGGTATTGGTAACTGAATCAAACTTTGGGAGCTCCAGAATCTTGAGAATCCAACCAGTGCCTGGCAATACAAAGCAGTGAAGTGGTTAGAGTTTTGGCCTAAGATCTGGGACTGGGAGACCAAGGTCTGAATCCCCATTCTGCAATAGAAGCTTGCTGGATATAAATAAACAAATGAGTAAATAAGGCTCTCAAGGGGCTCTTTGCTATCAAGCCTGACTGGTAACACCTAAGATGGGCTTTCTCTGCATCTCTCCCCCCCCCCCAATGCTTGAGAGCAGGTGCAATAAGTGGCTAAGGAGGGGGTGTTGCTTGTCGATATGGTGCTGGCTTTTCCATGTTCATCTTTTTCCTGTGCTCTGGTATCCTTGCAGGCCATCATATTTTATTGTCTTCTGACTGAGAAGGTAGCTGCACCTGGTCTGATCCCTACTGTTCTAGAAATTGCCCTGAAGCCAATAGAATAGTCATTTCTTTTTCCTTTGCCTCTGAAGAGCAAAGCAAAGGAGCTTAAAATCCTTTTGGCCCTTCTACCTAGCATTATGGCTGTAACAGTAGAATGGCTTGACTGGCACAGGAGGTGTGCAAAGCATTCTTGGGGTCTCCAGATTTATTGATTGAGTACTGTCTTTTACCTTAATTCAGTTAGTACCATACACACACACACACACACACGTAGTATGTTGCAAAACAACGTGATTTTTTTAAAAAGCCTTTTCAGTGTCAGAGGATTCTTTTTTATATGCAGGCAGACAGACTTGCTGAAGCTTGTAGTCTGGTGGAGTCTGTTGTGTTGTTTTTGGCTCAAGTGGTCCTTGTTTGTCCTGTATTTGTAATAGGAAACCCTGTATGAACACAGTAAAACACTGTTCCTGAGCCAGATTGTAAATTACAAAACTATTTTGGGAATATGATTATTGTTACTTGCTGAACATACTAAATAAGGTTCACTTGAATATCTCTCCTTATATATAATTGAGACGCGGGGTGGCACTTTCTGAACATTCCACACACCTCTAAATCAGTTGGCTCCAAGATTTGTCACTCAGAAGCTGTCCCTATCCACTGGCTGCATTGCCTGAGTCCCGCCCACCAAAACTTTCCTCAGAAGACGGTTGCTTCACTCCAGTGAACACAGCTACTGAATCAGTCAAAATGATTGATTCCCTCAGGGGACAAAACCCACCATCTTTAGCCTTCAAGCCAAGTTTGCAGAGGCAACACTTTCCAGAATAACCCCCCCCCCTGCCAAGTAAACAACTGTCAGTGTGGCGGAGGCAGGGGGGGGGACCAGCCCAACTTATCACAAAAAAGCCAATGGATACACACACAAGCAGAGATAGAAGATGGGACCAGACACACAGAAAACAGGAAGCCAAAAACCCAAGACATGCTGCAAAGCAGAAATACAGACAGTCACAGACAGATCTACGTAGGCACATGCACAAACAGGAGGAGTGCAGGAACAACTGGCTGAAGTGGAGAATGTTCAGAAAGTGCCACCCCACGTCTCAATTATATATAAGGAGAGATACTGTTAATATGTACTTAACCAGCTTCCAGCTGATATATTCATTACACATCACATCTTTCTAGAACTCATTGTATTGCTTTTACAATGAGCTTTACTGCTAGTAAGATTATTTTTCAGGTACAATTGGAGGGAGGATAGAAACTGTTTATGTGCCACATTTCACCACATAGCTCCATCTGTTGCACCGCACTGCTGCACACTATCTACTTCGACCGTTTACACTAGTGTGATGGAATGGAGATCTGTGATTTGGTGTCATGTGTTGAAAATCACCACATGTGCAGGATCCATTCTTGTATCGTGGTTGATCAGAAGCATAGTGGTAGACTGTAATGGTATAGATTTCATAAAACCACTATCCTGTTTCTTTGTGTGAATGAAGTCTTGAAATATCAAGATTCAGAGAGAAGCTTTGATTGGTTTAAAATCATAGATTGAACAATAGGCCTTGGTTCAGACATTATGTAAAACCATTCATTAAACTAACCTTGGTTAGTGTGGTCATATGAATACGGGCTGCTCTGCTAACTATAATTTAACTAGGGTCCATCAAACCAGGATCTGAAGCCAAGGTTGAATGTTGATTCATTGGCCACAGTTAGTCTTAACTGTGTTTTCAAGTGATATACAAACACAAGTATTTTGAAACAAAGTGTGAGTCCAGTGGCACTGTCACAACTACTCTTTTTAATTTGTGGGTAGATACTATGTGTTTTTAAATTTCTTCTTATTTCTTTCTCTCATTCAATGTGTGTAATGCTGCTGCAATGAATTTAATTTCAGTCTTATTAATTAACCTTTTCCACAGTATTGTACGCAAGCTCTAAGGCCCCTTCATTGGACTATGTGGTCCTGAAGATGAGGCTGTTGTATTGTAATCGCATATAACTTTAGGTTTTCATAAAACAAAATAAACCTGTTTTGTACAAGAAATATATTGGTTTCAGGATGTTTAACAACTGTTCTTCAGTAAATAAAAGTGTATGTTAATATCATCTGACTGAGGTGTCACACTTTTTCTCCTCACAGTCACTCCTCTCTTTCAAACTCCTTTCTCTTCAAAAAGTACTTTGAGCAGTCTTTATTTTATTTTGCTCAGTTTAATCTTTCCCTTTTTAACTCAGTTTTTTGTCAACTTCTTTCTCTCACACTCTTATAATACTTTGATAATATTAGGAGTTGACTCTCTCTAGTCTCTAATATGGCCTCTATAAGTGTTCTACTTTCCTCTTTAGAATCTTAAATGCTTTTCACAGCACTATATGGGATTCTAATTAGAAGACTGCTTTTTCTAGACACTGGCCCTGGTCACACCAGGGGGGAAAGGCACGGCTGAAGTGCGGCTTTTTAGAGCCGCAACAAAAGAGAAGCGCGGCTGTGGGATCAGACAGATCCCCCGAGCTGCCACGCAGTTGCTCCCTGGCATGATCACATGCCGGGGAGGAAGCCACCAACGGGGGGGGAGCCACGAACAAGAGAGGAGGTGAGTCTGTTGCGCATGCGCGTGCATGCACAGTTCAATAGGGACTCGGGTGCTGCGGGGAGACGGGCGCATCGGCGATCAGACGCCCGCCCGTGCTGCGCGTCAACCAGTAAGTAGTACTGTTTTGGTGCTACCTTTTTGATGCATGGTTTCGCCCGGAAGGGACGGATCGGGGATGGGTGCACTCCACTTCCCAGATGTTGCAGTATGATCGCGCCCGCTTGATGTGCCCCCCGATCCGTCCCTCTCCCATGGCAAATCCTCCCGTGTGACCGGGGCCACTGTAGACCACAGCTGACTGTTTACTGCTGACAGCCTGATAACTTCTGCCTTCTCTCTCTCCACACACACACTTCTTGGCTCTGCCCATGTGCTCTCAGTTACCAACCAATCACCTTATCATTCATCCCCCTCTTTTACCCCCCCTTGTGCTTCTGCAACTTACCAAACTTTTAAAGAAACACACACTTAAAACCTTAAATCATTACATGCACCTTTAAAATCAACGAAGGTGCCACTGGACTCAAACTTTGTTCTGTTGCTTCAGAGTAACACGGCTGACTTTACCAGCCTTTTGGCTTAGTCCTGGTGTCAGTCCTTGTACATTTCCTGGCTACAGAAATGCCTGCCCTGAGCAAAGGTGATTAAACTAGCATGGGTCAAAGTGAACCAGGATTTGAATGACTGTCTGAATCCTGGTTTCACAAAATAATCGATAAGCCCTAGTGTGGCATTGTGTCTGAACTGAGCCTTAAATATGGAGCCTTAAGTTGGAAGAATGGTTTGGGGTTATTGATTCTTTGGTGTGTTTTTTAAAGGTAGCTTTTGCCCTCAAATCTGTCCCTGTTCGTTAAGTGTAGATTGAGTTCATGGCTGCAGCAGGTGGGGATGTCATCTCCTCTGTGGTATTAGAGTCTTGTAATCGCCTCATCTCTGAGTTAGCTGCCCTCTGTGACAAGCCTGCTTAATCCACGCAGTGAGGCTTTCTAAGAATACTTGTGCGCTGTGGGACGTTCACATCCAGGCTACCCACCACACTGACTATAACAACTGGTGTTTCTTCTTTGTCCTCCAAGACATTTTGAGTTGCCTGGGCAGATGGGATATATACTGATCTGATATTCCGAGTGGCCAGCCAGCAATGCTTTCTTTAATTAACTTGCATAGACTGAGTCATTTTCCAAGCTAGATATTTTAATTTACAGTCTACTGCACTGCAGCACTTCTGTGGGCCTTCTGCTGTGTGCTACAGGATTCAGGTGGCAGCGCAGAAGTCTCTTCTAAAAACATTGGAGCCTTTGCACTTGCAGCTCACTTAATTTGCTTTGTGGTTTCAATTTTCAGTTGCAAATCAAACATGCAGTCACCGAAGCTGAGATTCAGAAGCTGAAGACAAAGGTAAGAACTGTTGCTGGGTACTACATGGTGATTTATTTTCAGCTGATGTAGGCTGTGCACCCAACAGGAGGCAGAGAGGAAAGTAAGTCTTACCGAGAAATCACAATGAGGAAGAGGTGACATGGCTCCAGTGAGCTTGTTTTGGTGCAGTTTTATCCAAGTCGCAGTGGGATCAGGGAGATTAAAACTGCAATGAAATAGCTGCAGTTGCATATTGCATTTTTACTCCTTTTGCACATCATTAGACTGCAAACATCTTTGGAAGGAAATAGTAAAGCATTTGTTTCTCCCATCTGGGAGAGATTGCTGCTTGCTGACTTTGTTCTGAGAAGCATGAGGTTTTATTATCGTTTTTTTCACAAGGGGGGGAATGAGACAATTAACTCAGAACTGAGAGTTAGAAATGGTGCTGTATTGCTTTAGTAAATACAGTTGTGTTTATTATATTAATGAGTCTAGATTCTTGAGGAGGCACTCATTTTGTTATGCATTGATAATACAGTGTTTGAAAATTAAATTGTTTGACCTTTACTTACATTGAATTCAGAGGGTTTCTTTTTAAGTTTTTAGAAAGTTTTAAGCACAACTGTTCTGGAACTGAAAATGCAAAGCAGAATGTTTATTTTTCTAAAAATGTTTATTTTTCTAATCTGAAGCATAATAATTTATTTTTTCCGTTACAGTTTCTTCTTCCTTTAAAAACCTAAACATTTTTCTCCCTGTCAGATTAATAAAAATGAATGTGGGTGGACTTTTGTAGCCATTTCAGATCTCTTCTAGTGGTCTGGCATGTGGCTAACAATTAGGGTTGCCAGGTCCCCTCTGGCCACTGGCAGTGAATTGGGACAGTGGGCTTGCCAGATCCAACCCGAGAAGCTCCTGGAGATCTGGGGAAGGAGACTGGGGAGGACAGAATGATGCTTTAGTGCTCTAAATTGCTGCTTCCTATGTGTTAGTAATGCATGCTTAATAACAGCAATAACCATGGGCTGCTGTTGTGGACCTATAGTATTTCTAGCCAGCTTTGAATTTAAAAAGCCTCTTCATTGCTCTGTCTAGCTACAAGCAGCTGAGAATGAGAAAGTGAGGTGGGAGCTGGAGAAGAATCAGCTTCAGCAGAACATTGAGGAGAATAAGGACAGGATGATGAAACTCGAGAGCTACTGGATCGAGGCGCAGACCCTGTGTCACACTGTCAATGAACACCTGAAGGAGACTCAGAGCCAGTACCAGGCCCTGGAGAAGAAATACAACAAAGCCAAGAAACTGATTAAGGACTTCCAGCAAAAGTAAGTACCAGCCCACGAGCATACAGCTCATACATCCTCACACGTTACAGAGTATATGGGTTTGGTCTGGGCTTCCTGTGTTGTAGTTTTTCCTCAATTCCTATATGTGCTGTGCCCAATTAGAATCAGCATGAGGAGCACATAAGAACATAAGAGACGCCAATGTTGGATCAGGCCAAAGGCCCATCCAGTCCAACACTCTGTGTCACACAGTGGCCAGAAATACCAGGTGCCATCAGGAGGTCCACCAATGGGGCCAGGTTTCAGCATTCCACCCTGCATGATTTCAGCTTTCCACCCTGCACCATTTTCTTGGCCTGAAACAGTCCGGGGAGGACATGTGGTTTCCCCCAAATACTTCCCCCTTGGAAAAATGGTGCCAGGAAGGAAGCCCCTTCTCCACATGTTCCTGATCCTAATCAGGCACCACAAAACACATACGGAAACTGAGAAGAACCCACAAATCTCATGTGCTTGGTTATATTTGACACAGGGTGGTGACCCCAGCCAGTGTACTGCCTCCTTCTCTTCATTGTCCTTCTGTTGGGGACTGAGGCAACTGCTGTGAGCTATGTCCCTGTTAGACTGTTGGCTGTGGGATGCTTTCATTCTCAGGAGTTGTAAGAGGCAAAAAAGTGCTTCCCTTCCCTGCTTACTCTCCTGTTCCTTCACCACCTCTTCCTTCTGCTTTTGGGAATGAAAGCTTCTGGCAGCTGAGCACATGAGAACGAGGCAGTCCATCTTAAGCAACTAGTTGAATGGCCAGTGACTGTTTTGGATTCACTTTTATGCTAGAGGCATACATGCATTAAAATGGATCTCAGAGTGCATTCATGGTGGTGCATCTCTTCTTCGTGTACTTGTTTATGTAGCCTAAGTACATTGTGTGCCAGGGCATACTCAAGTATGAAAGCGACTCTTGGAAAGTTATGCTGCCGCATTAGACACGTCCAATACTATATGCCTATCAGAGCAAGGAGGTCCTGTTCTGCATTGATCCACCTCTCTCTCTTGATAGTTGTGGGGGCTGATAAAGTGGAGGAGGGTGTTTCAGTGCATGGAAGTGAAATGTGTGTCCAGTTTTTATCCAGAAAAAATGGCACTCCCAGCTATCAAGCAGTTGGGAAATACTGAGTATATAAATCATATAGTCTTCTCTTTTGAAATATGGTGGAAAGGCCTGTAATGTAAATGCCATTTTTCACTCTGCTACTATCATACTACCAGGCTATTTATGAAGAGTGTTGCTCAGGAGTTTTTGAAGGAAAATACAATAATATTCCTTTCATAGAAAGGCTTTGTACATGCCCATCCAGGGAGGTTGAGACTACAGAGTACATGTTTTTTATATGCCCATATTATAAGGTGGCACGTAATAAGATCATCACACCGTTGATTGAAGAAATTCCAGGCTTTTCTTGAAAAGCTAGACTCGAGTTTCTTCTATCTGATAGAAATCCCAAGATCACTAACCAAGTAGCCAGTTTCTTTATGGCAATAGTCAGATTACAGAAATTTTATGGTAGTTAAGTAGTTACAGCAGTTAGATGTTAAATTAAATTTTAATCTGCTTTTAATGTTTTATTGATGTATTTTAAAATTTTGGAATATTGTAAAGGTGTACTTCCTTTTTTGTATGACTGGTCCAAGAGCTGTAACAATAAACTGAACAGCTCCGGAGTTCTACATGATAGAGAACAGTCATTTCAACCTTGGAAGAGGGGAGGGATGTAAATTCAATGATCTTGGAGGTAGAGTGAATGGAACCAGTGCTTAGAGCTTCCAAGCTGTATATTAACATGTTTGCTTAAGGTGGTGTATAAAGCAAATGACTAAAGCAGAAAAGCTGGATTCAAGTCCAGTAGCACCTTCATCTTATATGATGGGAGCTTTGACTTTCAGAATTTTATACCCGAAAATCGTGTTCTCTAAGATGCTACTGGACTTGAATCTAGCTGTTCTATTACAGGCCAACACAGCTACCCTCTAAAACTCACCAAAGCAGGTTCACTTATAACTCTCCAAATACCTAAATCTGTATTTTAAAAAGTAAAATTAGCAGCAATAAAAATATTTAATGCCCAGCACACCAGCAGCTATGCCAGCTAAGTTAACTGTGAATCACCTACATAATCTCCATAATGCATTTTGATAACAAGTATTTATTTAGTTTCACCATTTCAGTTGTGGCAGTTTACAGGTTTTCATAAAACAAACAAGAAAATATTCCTACAAATCTATTTTACAGTGTAGTCTCAACATATTTATTTTAATGTAAAAGCGTCCATTCCATACTTTCCTCTTCCCTGCTGCCACGTGTGCATTATTATCAGATTAGTATAAACTCTCTTATCAGCACAGCAAGCTGTCTACTCATTATTATAGTCTACTGTAAGAGCAAACTGTTTTAAATTCTGTTTTAAAATAAAAAAATTGTTTTAACCAGAAATGGTTCTTTTTTTCTCCCTTAAGAGAACTCGAGTTTATCAAGCGACAGGAAGTTGAAAGAAAGAAGATAGAAGATTTGGAGAAAGCTCATTTTGTGGAAGTTCAAGGTTTACAAGCTCGTGTAAGTAATGTTGGATATGTTCTGTGACTTTATTTCTGTAGCCAACTGCCTTGATACACAATATAAATATTGTAAACAAACAATGTTGCTATAAAGAGAAGCTGTTTGGGTCCCTTAAGAACCGTGATTCATATTAAGGGAAGCTTCTTCCTCAATGATAGTTGATGTCTCTTGCTCAGGTCTCTTGGCAACTACTTGAGTGGGGGGCACTTTATCCCCTGGGCTCATAGCACCTCCTAGACAGACCTAGCAGCCACAGCAGCAGAAACTGTCCAAAGTCTGTTCTTGGCTCTCTCCAGTCCTCAGGCAGCTCTGCAGACGCAAAAAGGAGCTGTTCAAGGTCACTGCAACTTCAACTTCCTTTTTTTAAAAAGTTTTTTTTATTGTAATTCTTTATGTTTTAGCTATCTAATATCATTTTTAGATTGTCTACTGCACAAAGATTATCTCTGTATTGGGCAAGAGGTAACATGCAGCATCCCTTGGTGATTAGCATATAGACGGTACAGTTAGCAGGCACATGACACAGCTATCTTACGGAAGCTAAGCAGTGCCTGAAAAGGAGATTTTCTGCAAATCTAGGTATAAGATGTTAAGTTCCTTGATGGAAGAAGAGAGGGTCCAAATGTAATAATTAATTCAGTGCATTTGTATTCTTATTGTCTCATTAGACAGTATGTGAACTGCGAGTCAGGTTGGCGGTTCTCCAGGGCTCACTTTAAAAATGGAGGGGATCAACTCCATGCTGTGATGCTTTCAGCAGAAAAAAAATGGCCATGGGGGTGTTTGTCCTGCTGCGAGTTCCACATGTCTGCCCACATGTCCTGGGCCGATATGGATCCGATTTCATGTATTGTGTTAGGAAACACTTCGTAACTCTGTCCATTTGCTAGGGTGGGAAGAGGGGAGAATGGTTGCTTCTTCTTCTTTTTTGCTAATATTGAAATGTGTTACTCCTAGATCAGAGAACTGGAAACAGAGGTATTCAGGTTACTGAAGCAAAATGGGAGCCAAGTTAACAATAACAACAACATTTTTGAAAGGCAAACATCTGTTGGAGAAGTCTCAAGAGGAGATGGAATGGAAGCCGTGGATGCAAAGCAAGTGTCTGGCTTGGATACCATAAATCAAGGTTTGTCTGAACCAGATGATAAGCTTGGTAATGCTACTGTTTCTCTGTGATACAGTCATAGTGATGTTATAGTTTTCAATAACTATGGTATATGATATGGTGACTCATTTAAAATACATATCACCTACTATACCTAATAAACAGTTATAACTTAATTGTAATACCTGTAAGGTGTGTACAAGTATCTGTGTTCCACTCCATCCCAGTCAAATTCCATTCAGTGTTTACATCATGCTAATAAAAATATTAAGACAGTGTGTGAGATCTCTTGTGCATCCTGTATCTGTTTTTGTTTACCCAGTGTATCAAGGGACCCAAATGGTTGCCTCTGTGTCAAAAAAATAAACTAATAACTTATGGGAACATATGCATGTGCATTTATGTATGCAGATAGAGTCTGCACATGCTGGGTGTCATAATCTGGGTGAGCAGAGGGAGAAATCATTTGGAAGGGCTCAGGCAGGCTGATCTCTCCCTTATCCCACTTTTCCTGTTGAAATGACTCTGCGTAGTCAACATTCCATCTCTCCTGGAGGATATTTAGTCCTTACCTGGCTCCTCATTTTTTTTCCTTTTTGGTGAATTTACAAAAATCATATTTTTCTTTGTACTTGGAGAGTCTCCCAAATAGGGAAGGAGCCCTCACTTATCTGGTGGTGGCCCTGTTATGCAGCTTTCATCAGCCATGCAGGACACATCCAGTTTTCTGGTACATATAGGCTTGGATCCTCAGCAGTGCACTCTAGAAGCAAGCAGATTCCCTGCCCCCAGGACATTCTGTGCCCCCAAAACAGTGCTCCCGTGGGTCAGAGGAACAGTTTGAGGGAGCAAATAGTCTGAAATAGGCGAGGAGAATCTGCAAAAATTGTCCTTCCTTCTTCTGCAAATAGAAAAGCTATTTTGTCAGAAAGGGTCCATGCCATAGTAATATTCAGGCAATAGATGTGTTTGGGCTGAACTGAACCCAGTAGTGGCAGAATCTGTGTTGATAAATCCAGGTCAGCTACAGTCATGTAGAAAGTGTCTGCGTATGGGGTATGTGTGTACCTCTGAAGCCTTATGCGTGCAGGGGTACTCCATTGGTCTCAATGATATATTCACCTGTGTGGTCCTTATCGATTTGCTGATTTGTCTATGGGAAGATCAGTCTCATGATTTTGTACATCAGTCTAACATAATAAGGTAGCTTCTCACCTCGTGAATTCCAGATAAGAAATTGGCTTTCTGACTAACTACAGTTTGACCAGGGTTGCGTTCACATGGGCAATTTGCCCTTGTTGTTCCCTTATGGATTTAAAGTGTACGATCAGACAGCAACATCTGTCTGTCGTGCCCCAGTCATCTGAGTTCCATTCCCTTTGCCCATGTTTCTTTGATACCTGAGAAAGTCCAGTCCTGTTGGTCAGAGCTGCTTCCAAAATGGATTTCCTGTCGTCTAGTCACTCTGTTGCTCACCCAAGCTGCCAGGCAGGTCTCACTGATCTCTTGTTTTCCAGCCGCCATTTCCCCCCCCTAGTTAGTGAGGATCGCATTACTGTATATACGCACCTCTCTCCCCCCCCTCCGGGGGGCTGCTCGAAACCTTGTTTTCTTTTGAAAAACTCTCAGAGAAAGACACCCCTAATCTGCAGCTTTCTAATTTCGTTTGGGGAAGAGCTAAATTGAAAAGATTAGAGGAAGGACAGCAGTGAACTCCATATCCCAGCATTCTCAGCAAGCACTTGTGCACATGCTCAGAGGGAAAACTTTTCAAAGTAATGGCTGACAGCCCCATGAACTACATATCCCAGAAGGCTCATCCCTGCTTGTGGGCATGCTCCTAGGACAAACATCTTTTAAAAAATGGTCAACGGGCTGACTCCGTGTTTGGTGCTGTCTGATCATTCCACAGCCAGTAAAATCACTTTGAAGAGTGCTAAAAGGGGTGAGTCTGATCAGGATTCTCTGTAACAAAATAATCTGACTCTATTAGAGGCAGTGCAACAGCGGATTGAACTGCCCATCTAATTGCGACCCAGAACTACATGTTTTGTAGGAATTTCATTTAGAAATATTTTTCAAGATACAAACTTTTGAGGACTGGAAATATTAGCCCGTCATCTAACAGTCAACCTGTGCATGTTTGCAGACGGAGCTGTAAAGGGGGGAAATCCTGATGATGTTTTTGGTAAGTTCTTCTCTGGAGATGAGTGTTTTGATGTTCAGTGTGTGTAGAAGTCCATTGTGACAGTCAACTGGTACAGTGAGTCTCCTGTCTGTTGTGGAACTCAGTGGCCCTGATACTGATCATACATGTTAGCTTCTTTAATATATTTTATTTTGTTATATGAATTAAAGGGTACAGAAAAGAAAATGGGGAAATATTAAAAAATTAAAAAGTCATTATTCATCAGCAATTATTACATTTCATCTTTGTTGAAGACACAGTTCTGATATTTTATACATAAAACAAGAGTAGGATATCTTCTCAACTTAATTCCATTATTTATTCATTATGTCAGTATACTTTACTCATGCCCTGAAACTTTTGTTGGTCTCTAAGATGCTACTGGACTTGAATCTAATGGTGTTAAAATTCCATCTTTACTGCGCTGTTCAGAGTACTGATAGCTATTCTTTCCTAAGTATCAGCAAGATGAAAAATATTAATTCTCATGGAGTATGACTTTTTTGTCATTGTCACAGCCAATTTATGGTGACCCCGTAGGGTTTTCAAGGCAAGAGACTTTCAGAGGTGATTTGCCACTGCCTGGCTCTACATACCGACCCTGGTATTCCTTGGTGGTCTGCCATCCAAATACTAACCAGGGTTGAACTTCCTTAGCTTTCAGGATCTGACAAGATCGGGCTAGCCTGGGCTATCCAGGTTGAGGCATGATTTATGTGTTCCACAGGATTAGGGATTTTGTAGTCATGCAGAATTCCTTTTTTAACATATATTGCAGAATTTTGTTGCAGTTCCAGGTGGATCAAAGGCTGGTTCTCTTTTTACACCTCACTTTCAAGGGAAATGCCTCCTTCTTGACCTATGGGCCAATTTTACATTCTATACTACTCTCAAAGTAACATCCAAACAAGCAAATCCGCTTATGAAAATCAAGGTAGTACAGTCTTTTGGAGATGACTGTACCACTTCAACTACTGAACATTTGAATCAGCTCTTAGAATGTTTCATTGGGGAAACAGAAAGGGCTTGGAATTTAGATCTGAGTTTTGCTCTGGCATTTATTTTGATTTGTTTTTGTTTCAAAGGAAGATATAATTATACAGTGGTGGGGACCTATATCTGACTTAGACACAGTGTTAACCAGTTGTTCGGAGCATTGTCCTTAAAGAAGATACCATTAGAATACATGTTGTTTTATCCAGATTAGTTATCCACATAACCAAGAAGGATCCTAGATTCTTGAGAAGACATGCTTCAAACAGTTGTGCAAATAACTACTTTCTGATATGACATTTCTACACATACTTTCACAAGGTCATTTCCAAAAGTTAGTTCATGAGCACCACATGTTCTGTTTGTTAAATTTAGATGTATTTTCATCATACGTGTCCATTTTAACCTGTACAGTCTGAGGCAGTATAATAAAACCTAAGTTTGTGTTCCATAGTTAAAATGGTAATAAACTGTACATCTGTGCCTCTCAGGAATATTGGCACCAAAAGAACATTTTTGCATTAAGAAAATCTAGATTTTTAAAAATAAAGTGAATTACTTGGTTTGTATAAATCAAAAATAACTACCTATAAACCATATAAACCAAAATGATTTTGATTGCAAATATGTGGAATGTTTGCCAAACTGTTTGTTATTGTTGTTGTTCTTTTGGTAGCAATTTTGCTGGCAGAAAAAAAGGACACTCAATTCACATTGATAGAGTCTTCATCCTGGATTTTGGCTGTTGCTCATGTTTCTGACACCAAGGCTGCCGTATCTTTGCCATTCCTTCTATTTAACTATTTTTGTTGTATTCTGCAAGTAGTTTAAAATCATACTTACAAGAATTGTGATGGCTTTGTGCTGGGCTCAGAGACAAATCTAGTTTGAAAACTCCACAGTTGCTTTTTCATGAATGAGAACAGCAGCCAGTGTTGCTTTGTCAGTTAATGCTGTTTTTCATTCATGCAGGCTTTGGGTGGTTGCCTGTGATGAAGGCATCAGCTGCAGATATTGTTGCTTTGTCAGTTATGCTGTTTTTCATTCATGCAGGCCTGTGATGAAGGCATCAGCTGCAGATATTATCCCGTCCCATTTTAGGACGGAAAAGGAAAACCATGTAAGATGTCCTGCCTGTAGGAAACTTCTCTGACAGTGCAATCCTTAGCAGGATTTCATTGAGGTTAATGGGCTTTAATGGGTAAAACCAGAGTTTCTTCCACTTCCTAGAGCTACCCTTTGTCACTTGTACCTGGAAGTGATGTAGTGATGTCAGTGATGTCACCAATATTGCACCCCCATGTCCCCATCCCTAGCCCTCCTCCCCCCAATTGCCAGGCACAGCCCCATGATTGCCAGGCAACTCAGCCAGGACCCGAGGTGGGGAGAAGCTGGGGCTCACTGGTAGAGTACATGTTCTGCAGGAGAAGGTCCCCGGTTTGATCCCTGGTTCTCGTGTTATTGGTTTTAGGAAAGGCCTTTATCTCCCTGAGACCCTGAACAGCTGCAGCCAGTCAGAGTAAGCAATATTGAGCTAATTGACCAATACTGACTAATAGTATAACTTGATATTAAGCAGCCTCATATACATGTTCTTATGATGCGAGTACTCAAGTTGCTATTATTTCTGGAAGGGTAAGAAACCACCATCCCTGAGTTTTACACATATACACATACATTTGCTTGTATGTAAAGGAAAAATTTCCAGTGCTCTAACTAAACAAGCAAAAGGAGTCAAAATGCATAGTGATGTGTGTGTTGATGCTGTTCCTCAGAATCTTTCCTACATCTAAAAAGTGCTTTGACGGGACTTGGAGAAAGCACTTAAAAGGACATCACTGAGGGAATGTTACACGTGCTCTGTAACACTTTCCTTTGCCCTGTTTTTATGCAAGGCCAAACTTCTTTTTTTACTTGGAAGAGTTTTAAAAGAATATAAGGAAGGGCTTTTTAACAGAAAAGTATGCAGAAAGTAAGGGAGTGTGACTAGAACATATACACATGTCCCTTTGTATTTTCCTTTCTGTGCACATTTTCTCTTTATATAGACCTAAATGAAATACTCACTCGATGGTTTAAACAGGCATTAGCTTTTCTGTTGCGTCTGTTCTTCAATCCTCTTTGACTCTAAATAATTACACCAACATGACTGTCTTCAGGAGTTAATGTCCTCTTGCCCCTTCCTAAAGGCTCTCCTAGACAGAAATCCTCTGTAAGTACTATGTGAGGTATTAAGGATATTATTGTTTCCAGCACTTTATGCAGATCTTATGGACCAAGGTAACCATAGTCAGAAAAGGTTACACACTGATTCCACTTCCACAACCTGCGGGAAACATCTCACCTGACTTTATCAGAATTAAATTTATGCTTAGATCCTTGTTATCTCCTCCCCTCATACACATGCTTCTTCACTTCATTTATAACCACTTCACCTGAGGGATCAAATTCTTCTTTATGTAAGAAAAGCAGAGCCAGCTGTATAAAGCTGGTTATGCCAATTTTCCTGAGGTGTATTTAAAATTACAAATATATTTGTAATGTCCCATCCCAAGGCATGTTGATGAGGGGGCTAGGACTTTAAACCCTTCTCTGACACTGGTGCTGTGTAACACCAGGTCTATCAACAACAAGTCCACAACTCTGCAGAAATATTTTGCAGAGCAAGCAATAGATCTGGCCTGTGTGACTGAGACCTGGATTAAGGAGGGCGAAACAGTTGCCCTGAAGCAATTTGTTCCCCCCCCCCTCGGTTTCTTGGTCCTTCACCAGTCTCGGACAAAGGGTCGAGGGGGTGGTGCTGCTTGTCCGAGAGGCTTTCTCCTTCAGGGCATTCCCCATCCCAAAGATCTCTGGCATTGAATGTGTTGGTCTCATCTGGGACACTGAGGAGAGTTCGGCAATCTGTCTGGTGAACCATTCGCCTAGCGCACCAGCAGAGAGCTTGCCACACCTGCTGGAGGTTGTAGCAGATTGAGCCTTGGAGTTCCCAAGAATGATAGTTCTTGGGGACTTCAGCATCTGTGCTGATTCTGCCACCTCCTCGTGGGCAGTGGACCTGGTGTCTTCCATGGCAGCACTGGGACTCTCTCAGGTTGTATCAAGTCCCACACATCAAGCAGGCCAAACGCTGGATTTGATCTTTGGTATGGGAATTGATATTGATCTGGTAGCTACAAATCTCTACATGGGGCTGCCCTTGTCCCAAATCCGGAAGCTGCAGCTGGTGTAGAATGCAACGGCGCGGCTGTTGCTGTGCCTTCCTGTGCGGGAGCACATCCAGCCCACCCTAAAAGCACTGCACTGGCTGCCTATAGCATACCGGATACAGTTCAAGGTGCTGGTTCTTACCTTTAAAGCCCTATATGGTTGGGAACCAAATTACCTAAGGGACCACCTTTCTCCACATGTGCCCCAGAGAGCATTAAGATCTGGATCCCAAAATTGCCTGGTTCTTCTGGGCCCGAAAGAGGCCAGATTGGCTACAACGAGGGTCAGGGCCTTCTCTGTGGCAGCTCCTCACTGGTGGAATGAGCTCCCGGATGACATCAGAGCCCTGCAAGACCTCCTGCAGTTCCTCAGGGCCTGTAAAACGGAGCTTTTCTGCCAGGCTTTAAAGTAGGGTGCTGCCTTGACATCATGGCTCTGGCCCTGATAATTAACATCACCACCAACCTGGCCATAACATCAACATCGCCACCAGCCGGATGACTAACTGCCTGGCAGGAGCCTGGAGGCGGCCACTCAAAGGATGATAGAATGACGCCGTCTTGTAATATGGTCATGTATTTTATATTGTAATTTTAATTGAATGTTGTTTTAGTATATATATTGGAATTTTAATGTATATATTAATAAACATGCTGTTAGCCGCCCTGAGCCCGCTATGGCGGGGAGGTGCGGGATATACATTTAAATATAAATAAAATAAAATACTGATATAGTGTCATGGTCAGATCATTATGCCCTGAAGGCTTGGCTGAGTACCCCAACTCCCCCCTGTCTAGGTGATGAGCGGATTTATGCTCACCTACAGAGACTAATGGATCCTATTGGGTTTCAGAATGCTCTGTGGGATCCAGTGCCCTCTGATGATTCATTGGATGAGCTGATAGGGGAATGGAACTCCCATCTCTCTGAAGCCATCAGTGAAATTGCTCCCAATGTCCTCTTCATTCCTGCCCCAAGCTGTCTCTGTGGTACGCTGCGGAATTCAGAAGGATGAAGTGGGAACTAAGATGACTAAAGCAAGTTTGGTGATGGTCTCGCAATGAAGCTTCAGGAGCATCTTAAAGGACATTTATGAAATCCTATGGAATGGCAGGGAAGGCTGCTAAGAAGACATTCTAATCAATAATAACTGATATAATTACAAAAAGTCAATTTAATTTTTCAAATATTTGATAAATATTAGTACATTTCTGTGAAATCACATAGACACAAATATCCTTCACAATAAGAATAGTACAGTGACATTACACTCCTCTCTATTGCAGGAGACTGCCTAGTCTTCCCCAACTCTAGCGTCATCCAATGCAAATAAAGTGCAATAGCCAATAAAATAGCCCCGGTAGCCTCCCAGAAGCGCCTACCTCTGAAACCCTACAGCTTGCAGAGAGGAGCTTACCGAATCATCATTCACCACCCAGGGCCTTAGTAGCCCGCAGGCCGTTCCTGATGACCCCCCAGTTCCCCAAAACGAGGAACGGCTTAAGGTGCTCACCATTTTCTGCTTCCTTATCCCCGCCCTATTCTGCTAAAGTGACCAGCCTATTTAACAGCCACGCCCCAACCCGTTGTTCCACTGCTCCAGTGTAAGGTAGGTGAAAACACTACCACCCCATTGCCAATCTTGGGTAATAGTGAACAATTCCTACCTGGCCCCCTTGGGCGACCAGCCTCAACCTACACTGCGAGCACAAGGCAACTAATGCTCAGGGCGGGAGCTGAGCCGAGCCTAATCCGGCTGTCTCCTCCCACCCACATCCCAGCACGCTGCGCTGGGACGCTGTTGCTGCCCCGCCCTCCTCCGCGGCGGCAAACAAGCCCCCGGTCGCCATTGCCTTCGGCGGCGACTGGGAACTCCCTTCTTTAAACAAGAACATTCAGTCTCTGATCACCATTTCTAAACCTACCAAGTTCGCTTATGATTGGAAGGTGGCCATCCAAAAATTATCCCCAGTCAGGAAAAACTTTGCCTCAAACAACATGTGTCATTCTTAAAATGTTTGTTTGCTTTTTAGATTAGATGCTTGTAGCGGCATGAAGACAACCTAAGACAGGATATTTGATGTAAAGTTTTATTCTTCTTTCTTTCTTACAGACCCTGCTCTGCTTTCTCCTCCATCTTTCATTTCTCCTTCCTCTGCTCTTAGCTTTCAGTATAGAGAGCTCTAGTCTGTCCAGCAACATACTACAGTCTCCCTAATGGGAGAAACTTCTAAGCCTCAGTAATGAAATAAACTATAGCTATTAAAACATAAGAAGTGGATTTCAGATTTGCTTAAAGCTACTCAGACCATACACCAATTTGGTAGTGGTCCATACAGTTATTCGCTCTGTCAGCTTACTTGAAATAAGTGTGGGGCATCTCACTAGTCTTGCATACAAACAAGGAGGACATGTGTTTTGTATATAGGAATACAGACCATGTCCCCAGATATCAGAACATATAAATGGATGCAGTGATTCCATAGCCATTTCCCCCCTACAGATTTTAATGAAGCGGTCCCGGAGACAGAAAGGCTGGACTCTAAAGCGCTGAAGACTCGAGTGCAGCTTTCAGTTAAGAACAAAAGGTCAAGACCAACTAGAACAAGACTGTATGACAGCATCAGCTCTACAGATGGAGAAGATAGCCTTGAAAGAAAGGTGATGTGTAATTTCTTTTTCTCTTCAGTCACTGCCTCTTAATGTTCATATGGTCAGAGTGTCTTTATTTTAGCACAGGCAATACTTGCTCATGTCTGATGGAATTATAATAAAGTGTTCAGGCTGTTTTCACTTGGAAGTAACCATCTCTTCCCTTGCAGCAGTTTCAAGGCTTTTGGTTTAATTTTGTGTGCCTTACGACGTACCCATTCTGTGGGGTTGTTTTTCTAGATGTACTGTTATTAAGGCTGATTGAAACCACAGCAAACCTGCAAGTTGTGCTTAGCTGGTAACTTTACTTAGGTACAGAGAAATTATATCTAAATCCTGCTATGGAAAATGTGAAAACTGAAATTAGGAAAGATTAAAGTGTGAATTCTTGGGACAGGTGCTAAAATATGGATTTCCGCGTTCAAAGTAATATTGCTCTGATTGTTTCTTGTATGCTATAATCTGCTTCATAATCTCTTGTATCAACAGCCTTCGTATAGTTATGGTAGTCCTATGCACATTAGAAAATCACCTCTGCCCATGTGTATGAGAGCTTCCTCACCAGCATCAGATTCTGGTGCTTCCTCCCTTTCCCCTGTGGCTAGCAGTGCATCCTTTGCATTTGACAACATAGCTGGAATCCAGGATGAAGAACCACAGTACATAAGTGTTGGTTGTTCCCATGGAGACACTCCACTCTCCTCTCCTTCAAAGTCCTGCCAGAGCTGTGAACATTCACCTGTGCATCATCCAGCCTGCAGGAGTATCTTCCATGACAAAGGTATATATGCATATGATTGGAATTTGTCTCTGCATCACTTTTTATCCCTGTGTGCAGGCATTTCATTTATCTAATTAATGCAGGCATTTCATTTGCCTACTCAAGGAACTGACAGAATTTTTTTAATGTACTTTCTGGTTTCCTAATTTTTTTTGTTTGTCTTCTTTGCAACAGGCATTTGAAACAAGTTTGGAACCTCTGGTTTGAAGCAACTGTGTTTCTCACCAATGGTTATCTCTGAAAGGTCCCCCCCCCCTCAGTGTCTCAAAAACCTTTGTATCACCACCCTAGGGAAAGCTTTAAGTGCACTATAAAAATAGCATACAGTTGTAAAAGCACAAACTGAACTTGTTGCCAGGCTCAAAAGAACCCTTTTAGGTTTATGTAAAAGCCAGCAGGACCCCACCACCTCGACAGTTGTTCAGACTACAATGGGGGAAGTTTGCAAACAAGTTTTCTTGACATCCAGGGAGGGCTTATTAGGTAATATTAACAGGGTTGCTCTCAGGAGGAAAGGACTTTCAAAAAGCCCCAATGCATGGGAAGAGCTGCGTATGCGCTTCTTCCGAACCTGACCTGCATGTCTGTGCAAATACAGTGGAATGTTGGGAGTTGAGTTATAAGTGAAATTAACTTCCTGTTAAAGTAGTTGATATGTCAGCGCAGCAGACACTACACAGGAATGGGCTATAAATGAAACATTAAGAACATAAGACGAGCCTTGCTAGATCAGACCAGTGGTCTATCTGGTCCAGTATCCTGTCTCGCACAGTGGCCGGCTAGTTACTCTAGAAGGCCAAACAACAGGGCATAGAGGTTGCTGCCTCCTGGCACTGGGATTCAGAGGCTGACTGCCTCTGAACATGAAGGTTCCCTTTAATCACCATGACAAGTAGCCACTGATAGATCTATCCTCCATGAATCTGTCAAATACCTTTTTAAAGCTGGGGCCATCAGTACATCCTCTGGCAATGAATTCCACATCTTAATCACATCTTTAAGCATAAATAAGTATTTCCTTTTGTCTGTCCTGAAGCTACTGCCATCAGCTTCATTGAATGCCCTCAAGTTCTAGTATTTAGGAGAGGGAGAAAAAGTTATCTCTGTCAACTCTCTGCACCCCGTGCATAATTTTATTAACTTCCACATTGTCTCTCCCCCCCCTCCAATCGCTTTTCTAAACTGAAAAGTCCCAGAAATCCAATCTCTTCTTCTTCTAATCCTCCAGGTTGTCCTCATTTGTATCTTTCCAGCTCTGCAGTGCCCCTTTTGAGATACAGTGACCAGAACTGCATACAGTATTCTAAATGAGGCCATATCATAGATCTGTACAGGGACATTATCACATCAGCTATATTTATTTCCTAATAATCCCCAACATAGAGTTTGTCTTTTTCACTGCTGTGGCACACATTCATTCCAAATCAGCAGCTTCACCTGTGTGCAGAGGTCCCAGTAGAACTCCTGCCTACATAAAATCTACACCATTCATTTCAGTGGAGGATGTGTGTCCATAGCTCTGTTCACGCTTGTCTCAAAGGAGCTGTCATGCATCCACACGGTGAAGGTACATTTGTGGGGAGGAACACATGTGTATACCCCAATCCACACAGTTTCTCTACACTTTCCTCACTTGATGAGTAATGCCACATGTTGTTCTCCACAATAATTGTAGAGGAAAACGAATTTTCCCGTGTTGTTTTGTTTCCCTTTGTGGGTTAGGTAGCCTGTTAACTTGTGTTCAGGGTTTTGGGTTTTGGGTTTCCATGGGAACAAATCCTGGATGCTTCAGCAATAAATAGTAAATGTTTTCTGGATCTTCTAAAAAAGAAGAGACAGACTGATGGGAGAGGTTTAAAATGTGTTGATTTTTTTAAAGTCTTCACAGAAACAGCTTATAATCTGTTTCACAAAGAGGTAGATGTAGAAAGGAATATACAGAATGTACTGATACAAATAAATAGTGGTTTCTGCACATAGTTGTTGTTGTTGTGTGTTTGCCACTGGTTTGTCTTGTCCACACAGGAAAATCCAGTTGCAAGTGATTGTTGTAGTGGAGTGAGAGCACAATAGCCAAGCATGTGGGTATAGCCAGTGTTATACTTTTCTGAAGACTGACAGGAATTGAGAGTGACAGCTAAAATGAATAAATGAGCAATTGTTAAACTTTGGCCAGGTGTACTAAGAACCCTACTCACAAAAGTAATCCTCCTTTCAGACTCCATTCATAAAATCTTTAGAGTGCCTGTTACAAATACTCAGGTTTATTTAGTGGCAGTGATGATATGATTTGGGGCTGTTTCCTTTGCCCTTATAATTTCTTTCATAGCTTCCTCTGTTTCACAAGACATTTTGTTCCCATGTTCTCATTAAAAATTTACTATAAAAACTATTACTGTTTGATCCTTTACACAGGGTTGTGAGACATAGTATGCCTTATGCAAAAATAGGCATTTGCTGTACATTTTTTTTAAATGGGACATTATTTCAAATTGGCATAGGAGTATCAATGCAATCAACTATTTTAATAACTGTGACTGAACTCTAGTAATTCAGTCTCTGTATTTTCTCTTTCAGTGCACAGGCACATGCAATCACTGCGCATAGTGTATTTTGTTTTCTTCTGTATTCTATATAATAATAGTTCATATGAAAGTAAATGTCAAATTGGAGAACTGTTAATGGTACTTTAATTGGGATTCAGTGATGGTAGACAGGATATAAAGTGGAAGATAATGAAGAGTTCAAGATGGGAAAAGAACCTGTTATAATGATTGTGAGAAAGATCTATAACCAAATAATGCCCAGGGCTGTAGTCAAAAGAAAGCCCAATATGCATAGAAAGAAAGATCTGTTGCACCAGTAGAATTTTCTTCAATTTATTTTTAGTAAAAGGAAATCCTACTGCCAAAGAGGCAAGCCACTTAACTTTGCTTGTCTCTTCAGCACCCCAAAGAATTGTGACAATAAAATTCCAAGGAACCTTCATCTGAATCTGTTTGGCTCTGCTATGCTCTGTGCACTTACAGCATTTTTTATCACAGCTGAGGGATTGGATCCAAAGGTGCCTTTCTGAGAGTGTTGGGAAGGATGTAAGATTTTTGCAGGTTTTCAAGTTGCAGCTACCCCCCCCTTCCTCCTCACTACAACTTGTACTGTTCCTCATGGTCTTGCAATCCCCAGGAGCAAATTTTGATGGCATGGCAGGCTGCAGAAGATAGGAGAAGTGGGAAGGATCCATTTCACTAGCAGAGCTCCACTTGGTGTTTCTTTAGATCCAACCCAAGGTCTTTTTTCTGCGACCGGACAATACTTTACAGTCATAACATTGCAGCCATTGAATGCAGAACTCATGAATTGTGATCCAGTTAAACAATCTTGATTTTGCAAACATATATACTTCTGGGGGCAATATGAAACTGAGGTTTCCACCACTGAAATATGAATGATTATTATAAACTCTGTTTTTCCATGTGCAAATATGTCCTAGACGGTGCCACAGGTATCCAGTCATCAAAAACATCCAATTTGGGCCATCTAAGACCGATAAAACAAAAGCTTGGGGACCTGGGGTAAGGACTTAAAAAATCTTAATTCTCATTCATAAAATACTCAGTTAAATTCCTTTTGAATGATGTAGCACATTGACTGTCTTAACATTATAGGACTCGGTTGAGGAAGAGTGCTAACAAGGGCAAGAAACGAAGAGATAAAGAAGCAGTTAGGGTCTCTGTTGGCTGCAGGTATGGAACAGGTTCAGGCCAGAATACCTTATTATCATTCATTTGTATTATACCTTTCATGGTACGAAATGCTTTCGATTATCTTTTTCATGGTACAGATTACTAGTAGCCCTGCTTGGAAGATGGGAAAGTGGTGTTCTGAGCCCTGTACTCAAGATGTGCATCCCCCTGATGAGTTAAATGGATTTTATTCCCCTATAACTGTGCATGGGATTACAGTTTAAGGCAGAAAAGAGATGAATGTGCACAGATTCAGATCTGCACCCCTTGCTTCCTCACCCAGTGCTGTACCAGCCAGAAGCTGTCCTAGATTAGAGTTGAAAACAGCACCAAGAGTGCAGTAGAGTGGTACAGTAGTAATCTTTTGCTGTTGACTTGCAGCACATGAGCCAAAAAAAAGAAAACAGACCGGCCATCCATTTTAGATTGCTGGAAAATACTGTGTTTTCCCATGAGAAATGGCTTAAAAGGGGCAAAGGCTAATTCCTTGGTGTACTTCCCCAGGTATGATTAAATCGAGAGTGAAACTTGGCATTTGTTTCAACTTCCTATCAGTAAGCAGTAAGCACGTCTGCTTTGGATAAGAGCCTCTCTTGTTTAGCTCTGTCCAATTTAATGTGCTTGTTAATTGCAGGGCAGTAGTTACTACTTTAACTGTTCAAGCTCTTCTTGCTCATTCTTTGCGTTGCACTCTAGAGGATTTGTTTCTGGTGATCACCGAAGATATTCTTCCTGCAGTACGAGGCTGAAATAAACTGCTGGAAAGCACTGATCCCTTGACAGCATCCCATGGCAAAGAATTATTCCATTAGCACAACTGAATGATGTAGAATTAATCATGTTGTCAGTTGGACACCTTGCATGTTGCTTTTGCCCTTGCTGAAGTCATATTCATAGTGCACACAGAGAAACCCTTTCAATGAGAATGCCAGAAATGCGTCGGTTTTGCAAGAAATTCCTCTGATTCTGCAGCAGAAAAGGTGCGATGTGCCATTTCAAATGAGATCTGGTGTGACCAACAAATCAGGATGTCCTCAGTTTAACTATTCCCTTTCCGTCAACTCACTAGGTGGCTGTAGGTATGCCACTGTACCCCTCTGCACCCACCCTCATCTTTAGTACTGATAATGATACTGATCTACTTTACAGAGGTATTGTAAGAAATTCAAGGTCACCTATGTGAAGTGCTTTAAGCAGTCCTATAGAATTTTTTCCCTGACTTTTAAACTTTATTCTTCTGTCCTTCAAGGATACTTCTCTCCCTCCCAATCAAGGTCCTTTTCTGTGGATCACAGGTAGGGGAACTTAGTTTCATAATAACTCAAGAAGTACCCTGTTACACCAGCAACCTGTTGTCCACAGTGCTCTTGGGAGGAACCCTCAAGTAGAGGAGAGAAGGGGCCCCTCCTCCCACTGTTGCCCTTCAGCAACTGGTAATCAGTACCACATTTCCTCTGCACACTAAGCTTCCATTAATGTACCTGGCTAATAGCCACTGATAGATCTAACTTCCATGAATTTGTCTAATCTCCTTTTAAAACTACTTAAGCCAGTAGGCCATTACCATGTCTTGTGGCAGAAAATTCCATAAGCTAATTATATATTACACAAAGAAGTACTTCTTTCCTGTCCTGACATTTGCTAACTACTAACTACTTTCCTGTCCTGACATTTACTAACTATGAACAGAAAATCTCTCTCTCTTCTTCCCCCCACCCTCAGGGAGAAACAGTTGGTACCATCTGCATTTTGAGTCAGTTTCCTTACAGAAAAGTGTGGGCCTTATTTATGTATGTATGTATTTATTTATAAAGGTAGAAATAACATTTATTGCATATAGCCAAAAGCCATCACAGTTAAACACAATCAGTGTAAAACATCAATTGAATTTATTGTTTATTTGAGGTGTTTTACCCCTCCCAGGCTCAAGACAGGTAACAGTACTCTTTATAATATGTATTGGATAAATCAGGCAATTAAATATACACAAAAAGAGTATAAATCCATTCAGACAATTAAAGATCATACATCTTGGCCACAAAAAATTACTCATTTGGGTAGACTTTTCTAAATGACTCCACCTATCAGTGGCTCCAGAATATCCACAACAGGGGTACCTTCCTGACACATTGCTGACAGAACTGTGGCAGGAAAAACTCTGGTTTGGGCAAAAGATGACGGAATCTACCTACCTGTTGGCACTTCAAGCAGGCCTTGATGTGAGGAGTGGAGCTTCATTAATACTGAAGTGAGTGTCCTCCCAAGCCGTGAAGAGATGTATAGGTAGATTTAGGTGGGTAACCATGGTGATCTGAAGCAGAAGGGAAAGTGTGAGTCCAGTGGCACCTTTAAGACCAATCAAGGTTTATTCTGGGTGTAAGCTTTTGTGTATCTGAAGAAGTGTGCATGCACATGAAAGCTTGTACCTAGAATAAAGTTTGGACTTAAAGGTGCCACTGGACTCAAACTTTGTTCTAGGTATTATCCAGACAGTTGAATTGGACCTAGAAACAAATAAACAGTCAGTGCAGCGCTCCGAAAACCTGTGCAGTATGCAAATCCAAGCAACTGCTGCCAGCAAATGAGCTGCAGCCTTCTGCACTAGCTGAAGTTTCTGGGTTGGACAAAAACAAACTTTGCCCAGCAACATGAGGCTGTGCTCTCCCACCTGAAAATCCTCCAGGATTTCAGCCTTGCTGACCAGCATCACCACCATCTTTTTGGGATTCACTTTCAGCTAGTTTACGCTCAGCCACTTCATCATGTCTGACAGGCACTGGCCCAGGACAGAGACAGCCGCCTGGCGTGGCTTAGACTAAGGGATGTAATAGCTGGGTCTCATCAACATACTGATGACATTCTATTCTGAAACTGTGAACAAGTTCCTACAAAGGCTTCACATAAACATTAAAAAGAAACCACTGGGAGAATAATACAGAGCCCTGTAGCACACCAAAAGGAAGATCCCACCCAGTTCTGACTTCCCAGCTACAGTCATCTGAACAGAGCTGACAAATGATTTTTAACTACTGCAGTACGATTCCTCTCGGATCTGTCTCCAATTCAAAATGTTTCCATCGTTATCAAGTGATTCATCACATCCAAGGCTACTGATAGATATAACAACAGTAGAAGGGAGGCAGAACCCTTGTTCATGCTTATTTATTTTTTTGTTTATGTTATTTATATTCTGCCTTTCTCACTTGGACTTAAGGCAGATTTACCCAGAGTGCGTCAGTACAATTGATAGGGTAGGACATTCAGTAAACAGTACAATAGGATTAGGGTTCTAGTACCAATCAGAAATCTAAAAACAGAAATGAAGCAAAGCATAAGTATTCACATGGCACATTAAATGATGCAGAAATTACATTGCAGGGTCCTAGTTTCAGCAAACTAAACACAGCCGTATAGACCACCATCCCTTATAATTTATCCAAGCTTAAACATAAGTCACCTCCCAAGGTAATAATGCTTTCTCTGACTGCAGCCAGCATGAAGCCAGATTGAAAAGGTCAAGGGCAAACGTGCCATCCAGGAAGTCCTGAAGTTTCTCTTCCACTCCCCCTTTCCATCACATCATTCTTACCTGGGGCAGTTTGCTTCATTGGGGGTGAATAATTGCTGCCTACCTTTGCATAGTGAGTTGCTTAAAATATTCATCAGTGGTTTCGGTGCCTTCTGCTTGGCACACTTTTTCCAGTTGGTATGAGCAAAGATTGAAGCTACAGGTCCACCCACACAAAATCCTGTTGACATTGTTCAGGGAAATCAAGTTGAAAACATCCATAAGAGTACCAGACTGCAGACCAGACACCGCTACTATTTGATCTATTATCCAATCAGAGCAGAACCAAGAAGTTTTATCAGTGAAGAATTGTGTATACACATAACAGCTAATAGCTGATTTTTGTGAATTTTGATACTGTATCCTTGAAGGCACAGGAATGTCTAAACACCTGAATACTTGTTCTGAACCTTTTCTTTGCCACTGATACCATCCCCTTGTTGAACTCTGTGTTAGGCTATGTCAGGTTCAACCCAAATCTTCCATCACTCCAGCCATCTTCCAGACTTCTTCAGTTCACTCAACTCCATGGTGACTCATGGGGCCATCTCCTGTCATCTGGATGGACAAGAGCACCAGGAGCATCTCTCTCTATAGCCCCCAGTAACCCTTTATTCCATATTTTTGCAAGAGTATCAACAGAGTTACTATTTTGGTGCCTATAATCCCCTAGAGCATTCCAGAATCCATGTGGATCCATAAGTCTGAGAATAAATCAGGTCAAGTGATCTGTTGCCCCTGCTGTGAAAGGGCTGCACAGCCACTTATGCTTTCCACAGATAGTGGTATGACCATGACACATGCTGAGTGTACAACTCTCTCTCCATCCCACCAGTACATTCCAGGACTACCACTTCATGCTTTGTTTGCTACTAGCTGCTTAACCATATGTGATCAATGGGCCAGCAGCCCTTCACCCTGCTACTCCGTTTGCCTAGTTCGTGTATTCACATTGGGTGTTTCACTGCCACTTACCTCTACTTCCATGTCTGGTGCTGCCACTCAGAGGTTTTCTTTAAATTCTTCTGTATGTAGTATTTATTTTGCGAAAACTTATTGCAAAGTCCCAGTTTAGGGACAAACCACTTTCTGAACAGTTCCTTTGTTCGTGGGTAATAGGCATGAGGGACTAACAATCAGAGAGTTGGCTTCTTTAAGAAGAAACAAATTATTCAAATCCTTATTAAGATTAAAAACTGTTTGGGAAATATGAACAACTGGACCGGTTTTGAAGCTATTTCTGTCCTCTAATATCTTCAACATCCTCCCTAATTCACTAGGCTTCCTACATCTATATCCCCAAGACCACAAAACGGGTTTCCTTACTTGGTTGCTGGCCTATCCAGTTAACTCTTTCCTAAACCACAGAATCCTGTAGAACTGTCTCAAATAACAGAACTGAATATTGGAATAAACATATTAAAAACATTTAAACACTGAAATGTATATTTAAAAACTATAAATAATATCCAGAACTGTGTAATGAAATCATTTCATCACAGCTACTAACCAAATATAAATATAAATCTTAAACTGGCAATATTGCTTCTGATTAACATATATATGGAATTCAGATGCATAGTTGTTCCTGCTGGATAATGATCTCTTAGTACCTTGGGCAACCCAATCAGAAAGCGGATTAGTTCCCTATTCATTAGGCCCTTCTGATATCCCCTCCAGCACTCTCACTCTCACGCACACACAGAGTTATCATTACAGAACCTTCCTGCTTCTTTCCCGTCAGACCCCATTCCTTTGAAATACTGCAGGCTACATGAATTCTGTTTCCTTGGGCAAATCAGAACTGACTTTTAAATGGCAAGAATTTAAAATAAGGCATTTGCAATTATGTGTGTGTGTCCCCTCTGGTTTATTCTGAACCAGCAGGCAGCAAAATTCAGTGAAACGTATGCCCTTTGTGTGATGCTCCCTGGGGAAAAGAATCAGATTCCTGGATCTAGTGAGTGTTTAATCAACCTGGTCTTAAAACATCAAATTATAATATGGTAACAAGAAACTAGTCGTTCCTGTCTCCCAGAGTGCTATAGAAAACTGGGGGGAAGCAATATAACTTAAGCAGCCGAGTAGCAGAGAGCAAGGCTGACCCTCACAATGCCAGTTCTATGCATAGGGTTCCTTCTCTAGAGCCCTTTATTTTTGCAGTAACATTTGATAAAGCATGCAGGCAGCACTTCCAAAATAGATTATATAGAGAGAGAAAAATACCGGGGGGGAGGGCACAGGAGGTTTCAGTGAGGGAGGGAGGCAGGGGAATCGCCTTCCTCTAGCACAGCTCCACTTGTGCTGCTGCTTAAGATCCAAGACAGTGCATTGTTGCTGGGGAGGGGGTTGTCTGCATTCTCTTTAGCCTTTTAAAAAGCCTAATCCACATGCTTGCTGCTTTGTGTTTAAACAGGACATCTAAGGAGCTGCTGGAGTGCTCAGCAAGTAGTGCGTCTATAGCCAAGCGATCCTCCTCTCTCCCATACAGCCCTATGCCATTTACTTGGTATGGAGAGAGCAGCAGGGGATCCAATTCTTCCAGCAATCTGCCTTCACCTTCCAGCTCAACTGATCCTTCCTCTGACAATCTAAGTCCAGCAAAAAAGGGGTGCAAGGTAGAAAACGCAAAGTACCTTATCTCCTGTGCATGGAGTTGCATAATTGGGTTGCTGTCAGTGGCTTAAACCAGGGACCCGTGCAATAGTAACCTCAAGCAAAAATCGTCCACAAAATGTGTTATATGTGCATCAAAATGTGTTACAAACATTCCAGGCTATACCTCCTTTGTTTTCTGTGTCCTTTTTTTGGTGTATGACATGCGTTGTCAGAGTGCCAAATTCAGTGTGGACTTGGGTGTTAACACGTTTGTCAGGATTACACCTTCAGGTTTTAAATGAACCTGCACAATGTTTAGGCACGTCTGGCTTCATCGTACTGAAATGAGCACGGAAGATTCCCAAGTAGGTCTTCTTGAAGCAAAGCAGGGGATACTAAAGGAAGAAGCATGCCAGTTTAGAGTTGGAAATGCAACAGACAAGAAGCAAGATGGTAGAGGCAGTGGCAGCTGGCACATGGAGTATGGATCAAGGGATGGAAGCCATTTCCAGGTGGGAGAGCAGTTACACAGTTCATAACCAGGTGCCCAGTTCTGCATTGTCATTGAATTGAAACACTTGGAAATGAGAATACTGGAAGGATAAAATCCTGCAGGGTAAGTGGAATCCAACCTTAAGAAACCCTGAAGAAAAGGTGGCAATACAGGGTTTGGCATGTTAAAAATCTGGCCCAGTAACTGAATTAGCCAGAATCAACAGGTCCTTATCAGAAGCATTCCACCTGGACACCTTGCAAGTTTTCCTAGCAAGAGACTTTAGCTCCCTACTTTTGGTGTGAGAGCCAGTTTGGTGTAGTGGTTAAGTGTGTGGACTCTAATCTGAGAGAACCGGGTTTGATTCCCCACTCTTCCACTTGCAGCTGCTGGATGACTTTGGGCAAGCCATAGTTCTGTCAGAGCTGTTCTCTCAAGGACAGTTCTGGAAAGAGTTCTCTCAGCCCCACCCACCTCACAGGGTGTCTGTTGTGGGGATGGGAAGGGAAAGGAGTTTGTAAGCCGCTCTGAAACTCCAAGTGAAGGGCGGGGTATAAATCCAATCTCTTCTTCTTCTTCTTTACTCCTGTGAGGCCCTCCTTTCCCCCAAAGTTACATGCCCAGAGTGGGGTCTGATGCAGCCAGCTAATGAAAAATAAGCACATCTGGGTCAAGGCCTGGATGAGAACCCACTACCTGCCACCATGAGCTGTATGGAGGAAAGGTGGGAAATACATAAATAAATTGCATGGGGTTTGATTGGTTCCAGCAACTTGAACAGATAGTTATGTAGCCTTCTAGCTTGGTAATCCTTTAATTTTGTATCTGTTCCCCTCTTTGATATCTTTGCACTTTTTAAAGCATAAAGTACATATTAAATTATGAAAGTGCATGAAAGTTTTTTTACAGTATACAAAATACCCTGTTGGGTTCCAAGTACAATTTTAACACATCAGTTGCAAAACTGGCAAACTAAAAAGGGTCACTGTTCTGCATTCTCCATTCTCACACTTCTGTGTCTCTCTGGACAAGTTGTTTCTTTCGTCCATCTTGAGTATTACATTCAATTCCATTCTGAAGTTCTTTGAACTAAGGAAAATTGAATTATTTCTGATGTGTATTGTTCCCCTTGTATGTATGTGCATGTTGCATTTAGCATGGTAGCTCATGACATACACCTGTCTCCATGTATTAATGTTTTTTGTGCAATGTTTCTTGAGCATTTCATTATCTGTGTGATGGAAAAAAGGCAAAACCTCCTGTGTTCGAAAACCATGCCTTGATGCAGCATGGTACAATTTGAGACATTCCTATTGAAGCAGAGCCTCATTGCACATCTTCCATTTATATGCTCAGGATTGATTATCAGTTGATTATGCCCACAGCATCCACATTTTCATGGAGATTTGTTATTGCTTCTGTTTTGGCTTTCATTTCAGAATACGTACACTGGACTTTTGTGTGTCTAAGTCACACTTTTCTGGGAGCAGCCAAATGGAATGTATGTAGTAATTGGACCAAGGAAGCCAAAAATTAAAGCAAAACCATATACTTATAGAATCTTATTTGAATAAAATAATATTTAAACTAATAAATAAACAGCAGCATTGTCTTGCTTTGTGAAATAGGGGGAAAAACAGCTAATAAGAGTACGGGAGAGGGGTTATGCTTTTGTTCTCTGTGTATATGTTTTCAGAATTTGACATCACTGATCCAGATTTCTGGTGCTTGGAGACCTGAACACATTGGGAGATTGCATACTGACAAGCACTTGTAGTATGGAGATGTTAAGCACTTTTGACTTTCTACAGTTGTCGTTGTTTAAAATATTTAGTTTTATCACAGATCTGTACTTAGTTAAAACTGATTTAGTCAGAAGCTGGGCTAAAAGCATCATAGCATTTATAGAGAGGAAAACAAGTACACTGAAAGCTCTGTTATCTGGCATGATTATCCAGAAGGCTCAGTTCAGGAAAACAAGTACACTGAAAGCTCTGTTACCTGGCATGATTATCCAGAATGCTCAGTTAACTAAGATCACCCAGAGGGCAAACCTTTCCCCTTAAACCACCATACCTCTGTGTCTTCTGACGTGTGCCCCATTCCTGCCTCTGCAGCTGGCCAGCCTAACGCCTCCATCTGTTGCAGGGCTTTTGACAGATGGCATTTCCAACTGACCTCATCCTTGGGCGCCTCCTTTCCCTCAGTCTCCTTTCAGCTGGCTGGAGCCAGTTTTGCCAGAGGGCTCCTGGACAGCTGGCTTGCTGTCTGCCTGCTGCATAGGACAGCTTCATGGCTTGGGGAGAAGGGAAGGGTCTCACCAGGTGTGGAGGTTGTCATCATTGCATAAGAACATAAGAAGAGCCCTGCTGGATCAGACCAAAAGTCCATCTAGTCCAGCATCCTGTCTCACACAGTGGCTGAACAGTTCCTCTGGAGATCCAACAACAGGGCAGAGAGGCTGAGGCCTTCCTCTGATGTTGCCTCCTGGCTCTGGGATTCAAAGGATTAGTGCCTCTGAATATGGAGGTTTCCCTCAGTCACCAAGGCTAGTAGCCATTTGTTAGACTTATCCAGGGCTCTTTTTGTAGAAAAAGTCCAGCAGGAATAGACCACACCCAACAGCAGAAACTCATTAGCATATTAGGCTACACCCTGACAACACAGCTCATTAGCATATTAGGCCGCACCCACATGTTACCAGAAGGGTGCTTATCCAGCCACACCCACCTTTTGCTTCTTATTCTGTTTACCCTGTTTGTTGTCAAAACCCAGGGCTTTTTTTTTGTAGCAGGAACGCCTTTGCATGTTAGGCCACACACCCCTAACGTATCCAATCCTAATGAGTTTCTGATGTTGGGTGTGGCCTATCATGCTAATGAGTTCCTGGTGGGCGTGGCCAACTCGGGAGCCAGCCGGAACTCCGTTCCTGTGCGTTCCTGCCCAAAAATAGCCCTGGACCTATCCATGAATCTATCTAATCCCCTTTTAAAGCTGTTTATTCCTGTGGCATTCACTACATCTTCTGGCAGCGAATTCCACATTTAAATCACTCTGTGTTTAAAGCATTAATTCCTTTTGTCTGTCCTGAACTTACTGCCCATCAGCTTCACTGGATGCCCTTGAGTTCTAATATGGTGGTAGAGGGAGAAAATTTGCTCTTTGTCAACTCTCTTCATCCCATGCATAATTTTATAAATGTCTATCATGTTCCCCCTTACTTGTCTCTTTCCTAAACTGAAAAGTCCCAAATTCTTCAGCTGTGGATTTCTGTGGGTACGAAGTTGCACAGAACAATAATTGAAAGTATTTAATTAACTGGCAACCCTCATTTCCAATATAACAAAGCTTTACTGTACTTCAGCAGGGATGGGACTCCGGTCTGACGTTTGCATATGATCTATGTTGGCTACACTGGTTTGTTCATTTCTCTCTGCGTTTGCCTCTTCCATTGTTCTTTTTATACATGTTTTCTGACAAAATATAGCAGTTAAAAATGCACCAGTCGTTCATCTGATTAGCATCACTGGAGATTGCTTCTAAGTCAGCTTCCTTCAGTTACACAGGAAGGCTGTAAAGCAATACTGTGTTCATTTGACGTGAAGAAAATGGCACTTCCTCAGATCCTCTGATTTTACCTTATTTAGGTCTTCAAGTTGTTATCCCCCAAAAAGGAACGATTCAACAGATATTTCTAGAAGCAGGGGTGGTAGTGCTATTTTGGGAAGAAAACAGTTCAGGGTTTCCTAACCTTGGGATCTGACAACTGCAGGACCAGAAATGGACCGAGAATCTAAAACTGGACAAGAACACTCAGAGATCTATGACCAGCTTTTACCAGCATTTTTTCAAGTCTCCTAGGTTTTATTTTAGATAAGAACTGTTCCGGGAAGGAGGGGCTATCCCATGGCTTCACCAGTGTAAACCACAGGTTACCAACCCGCTGATGTTGTTACCCCCCTCAAAAGGAAAATAAGATAGGAATCTCTGTCACTGTTCAAAGGAGCTAGTCTCATCTGGCAAAATGGTACAGGGGAGGGTGAAAAGGTTAAATTTAGGGCTGATGATTATGACTGGTCTCCTGGAATTATGACGACCCAGATCAATTTTTCTGGAGAAAATGGCAGTTCCAGAGGGTGGACTCTGTGGCATCACATCCCTTCCCCCAAACGTCACCCTCCCCAAGCTCCACCCCCAAATATCCAGGAATTTCCATACCCATAATTGGCAACCCTAGTTAAATTCTGTGTCCCCCCCTCCTCCAATGTATTGGGGCCTCTAATCCAAAATGAGGCCTTTTGCCACTGCTGTTTGACTTGAAAATAAGCTGAGAAGATCCACTCGTGGTGGGAGAAGGACAGGCCAGGTAAGGGGAAGAAGGGATCAGCAGGTTGTGCCCATCTGTTCCTCCAGTCCTTTTCTCAACCAATGAAAACCTGGCCCAGGGTACCTGAAGGACTGTTGCCTCCTAGCCCAGCTCTCTGAGCGCTTCCATCTTCAGAGGTAAGATGGGTAGCGACTAGCGACTGGGCATTTTCTGTGGGGGCACTTCGCCTTTGGAATGCCCTCCCCCCTGAGGCTCACCTAGTGCCTACTTTATTTTCTTTTAGGTGCCATTCAAAAACACTTGTTTTTACCCAGTCTTTTCGTCAGGGGAGCTCATCTTAGCAGCATTTATCTTTTTAATGGTCTGCTTTATTTTTTTTAATGATTGTGTCTGTTTTATGGATAGTTTTTATGCTGCTTATGTCTAATGGCTTGTTTTTAATATTCTGGTGATTTAAATTGTAAGCTGCCTCGAGTAGGATCCTGAGGTAGCAGCATAGAAATATCCTCAATAAATAAATAAGGTGGATCTTCCAGCATCTCTTCTAGTTAGGCCCTAAGAAAGCTGTGCTCAATGTGTTACAACTCACAACTTGATATTCCTAGTGTTTTACAAATAATGAAAGCTAGTTGTAAAAATGTCATAACTGCTGATGAAAACTAACTTCAAAAATTTCCTTTGCATTTTTATCCAAAAATATCACTTGTTATAATTTTCTATGCTGGAGCCAAAAGCTTAATTATATGAATGCTTTTCTTTTTCAAAGTCCTCTTTTAAGCTGCATTATCAAAACAGGCTTATGTTTCTGTATTGTTGCTGGATTTAAATTTTATGTGATTTGCTTATTTTAATTAACCTCAAAAGTTTCATTGAATAACTTGATTCTGAGGTTCTGTTAACTGCAATATTTTTCCAGATCTGATTTATGCCATTGCAAAATTCTTCCAATGGCTATTTGGGTGAATTTCATCAGTATTTCACAATGTAGTCTGTTGAGAATTGCTCCTTTGTTTTTCATCCTTGCTATAAATTGTGATGCTTTGTTCATTACATTTATAATGAGGAAAATGTCTGGTCCATGTCTTTGTTTTGAGTGCTCCTGTCTTTCCCATTGTCAAGGTAGTTGTAATATAATATATAAGTTGAATGATTTACAAAATGGCTATTAAAAAAAAGAAACAAACTCTGTGACAACACATACACAGGTATACCAGACACCTGCTTTCTGGTTGAAATTCTAATGCAAGACTAATGTTGTGATACAATCAATTGTATCTCTTGTCTTAGCACATTCTGTATGTTTAAGGAAATTACGCTCTTCTGAGAACTAGAATCACGGCTGCTTGAGCCGTTAGAACTGATGAGGCTGTCTTGGAAAGCTAGATTTGTGTTAGAAACTTTGAAAAAAATTGTTTCCGACACAGATACTGGAATTCTACTGGTGTAGTCAATTATCCTGAATCCACTTCCTATCCAATCCACTGGATTTACTGTCTGGTGGAAGAAAAAGTTATTAGAGATTGGATACACAAACTCTTGCATAAATTAGCAAGGGCATTTGAGAATGGATGTGCATGGTTGTGCTTAAATTTTGATGAGTGTCCAATTTTATATATACTGTTTCTATAAGCAAGAATATCTAAGGCACTCCATAGAGTTTCCATAGGTATCCAAGAACACTAGGCAGAAACGCATATGGATAGAGGTTTCCCATATATCTCCTGAAAGTATCTCAAAATAAAGCTGAAACACCTTTCTGTGAATGGAGCTTTAGAGTATGCTACATAGTGTGGAAAGATCCCAGTAACATTTATTATATAGTCCAGACATGAGTGAGTAACTCCTGTTAGACCCTGCCAATATACTTCAGTTCACAGGGACTGAGAATAGGTTCTGTGGTGTACACAGCTGATTTCCTCCAGATAAATCCTGTGCTCCCAGCTGAGTACAAGTCCAAACCAGGAATACGCATAGCTGTCTTCACAGCTGGAATGCAATTAAAACATTGGTTCTCATTTTCAGAAATCGTTAAAAAAATATTTTTGCTTCCTCCGTGCATTCCAGCTCAATGCAGTGACTTGTCACAATCAGTCCTCAGCTATGCTTGCTCAGCAAGGGGGGGGCAATTCTCCTGTGAAATGTAGGCGGATCCTCTGTTCTTCAGCTGATGGTAGCTGTTTGTCTTATCCTTTACAGAATTTTACTTTCAATGATGACTTCAGCCCAAGCAGCACCAGTTCAGCTGATCTAAGCGGATTAGGGACAGAACCCAAAACCCCAGGATTTTCTCACTCCATAGCGCTGTCATCTGATGAGGTATCTGACCCATGAGCTATTCATATTGTAGGAAATGCATTACTCCCAATGGAGTTATTATTAATGGACTAAACAACTCTCCAGTTGAACTTGGAAGCAGCAGACTTTTAGGGCTGCTAATCACATTCAGAGGCCCAACATGATGTGTCTGTTGGTGGGCTGCGGGGGGGTGGGGGAAGAGAGGGAAGGCCTCAGAGGGCATTGAGCATCAGTGAGGTTTATTATAACACATTGCATTTGGAGCCAAAGGGCCCTTTAGTAATAGCAGTAACTCTGAAAACTGCATAGGACATAATGTAGTCTATTAAATTATAACCTGATATGTAATTCATTGAAAAGGATAATTCAAATCAGCTGCGTAACACATCAGGGAAAAATATGGTATATAGTACAGTGTTGCTGCTTATAAGCTACAAATAGTAGGAGTAAGGAAGTCTAATGTCTGGCTAATAGAAACCGAGCTTGAAGAAGGGCACCTTGTGTCTCTGGACTGTACCTCTTCAGAATGCAGATGAGAGATCAAATGCTTGGAGTGCTTCTCAGTATACAGAAGGAGAAGGTTCAAGTCTAACCTTTTTCCTGTAATAGATCCAGGTGGGCAGCCATGTTGGTCTGAAGCAGCAGAACAAATTTTGAGTCCGGTGGGGCACCTTTAAGGCCAACAAAGGTTTATTCGAGATCCGAGCTTTCTTGTGCACACACACTTCCTCATACAACATTGAAATGGAACTTGACAGACAGATGCTTCTACCTAGGTGAACAGCAAATTGCCCCCCCCCCCGTAATGTTAGTGTGAAGGGCACACTGGGGTTTTCATGCAACAGCACATGCAACTATTTGATTCCCTCTCCCCCGTGAAGTGGTCTAACCTAAAAACAGGTATCACGTGAGCAGGCCCATAGCAAGAAAGTTTTTTCCAGGGGCACCAAGGGGGCTTTCAGGGGGTTGGGGTGGGACAGGCAGAGACAGCGCTTAAGTCGGTGGGGACAAGGGAGGACAAGACTTGCCTGCTGGAGGAAGTGCAGCCTGCCCAGCCACTGTCAAGAGCACTTGGCTCCGAGCTCCTCGTCAGGGAGGGTGGGGGGGTGCTCATGCGCACACACACACACACACACACCAGGCCTTGCATCCCCAGTGGGTTTCATAGCCTTCTGCCTGCAGTACCCGGCCATAAGCTGGCATATCAAGGAACCGGGGAGAGGAAGGATAAGCCCCGGCTCCAGGGAGTTCTCTGTCTGGCCATCTGCAGTATAGATGCCCTATGCTGCCGAGGGAGGGAGGCAGGCAGGCAGGGAAAGGGCCCTTGACCCAGCCAGCATTGCCTCCTCCCCACAGAAGCTGCTGCAGAGCGGCTCATCTGCTAGTGAAAAACAGCTGTGAGTTTCATGAGCCTCTGTATGCTAGACGAGCAGCCCAGGCCAGGTGACTTTGGCGGGTGCCACAGCCAGCCAAACTGCCCCAGGTCGCCTCCTGCCCAGCCGCCGCCACTCATGCCACTGCCTCCTGCCACCAATACCCGGCCCTCTGAGTTCCAGGGGAGATTGGGGGTTGGGGGCAGGGCATAGCAGATTTGGGAGGGGGTGTTGCCTGCCTAGCTACGAGCCTGCACATGAGGCTGACGATGGTGTGTTTTGCTTTGCAGTGGGATATTATTTTCCATATTTAAGCATGAGAGTTTGCAATCAATCTGTAATGCACATCTCCAGAATTGTTCTGATGATTTAAATAGGATTATTGAGGAATAAGTAGATAATCATTTACAACTGTTATTAAAATAATTTACAACTATAACAGGTTTCTTTGAGGAGGATCCACACCTAGTGTTTCCATAGGCACAAGCTCTTGCGTCCATGGAATATTTTCCCAGTCCCCTTTCTGGTTATCCAAACAGTTTTACATGTTCTGTCACTTCTCTCCATAATTTTTTCTTTCCCATTTCTTTATTGCTGACTCTGTCAGAGCTTGGATATGATTGATGATGAGGTGAGACAATACTGCATGTTTTGCTGTGTTACACAGTGCTATAGCTATTCTGCCCCCCTCCATTTTCAGGTTTTCTTTTACAATGTAGATTCTTGTGTTGAAACTTATGCCTGACTTACTACCACCAGTCATTTCTTTCATTCAAAAGCCCTTTTTGTTGTATATGACTTTTTTTAAAAAGTTCTTGAAAATAGGGTCCAGTTTTAAGTGTAGATTTAACACTTATAGTTTTAACACCAATCCTTACCTCTCTTCAGGCAGAGGTGATTTCAGTAGAAAGTGATTGAAACCTATTGGTCTCTCTGACTCTTTGGCATAACAGGGTATCATACTATATATATTTTCCCCCATAGATATAGGTAATTTTTTGTTTTATTATTATACTTCAGTTGTATCCCTTGCAAAAGAATTGTTGCCTAAGAGAGTTGAAGGCACAGTAAAGCAATTAGACTTGTACATCCTGATCCTCTCAAACTCTGTACATGTTCTTCTGAGTTTTATATTCTAAAACTCAAATGAATGTTTTATCAGCCTTCAAAAAGTCCACCCATGAGTGGTTTCCTAATAATATGATGATTCCTTTCAGAAATGCTCTCTGCAGATCTCTCTGTTGCCGTGTGAGGGAGCTTGCCAACTCTCTCTGTTAATTGGCTCTGTTAATAATACCCATGAACTATCCATGAACTTGGTTGTCCAGGGATAAAGCTATTCATACAGATAATCAGAAAGAGACAGTAGATGCTTTTGGCTTTTTGAATATGGGGTGTATTGTTAGATATATTGTAAACCACTGGTGGTTGTTTTCATCATTTGTGAATCTCCTTGAGTTCTAGAAGTTGTTCAGTATAGAAAAGTAATACATCAATATGTGTTTTGTAACTCAGATCCATTTCTCTGATGCTGTATACCTCTATGATCTGAGGCCGTAGGCATCTGAGTACTGGATGCTGGTGAAAGTCAACAAAAGGAGAGCAGTTTGCTTCATACTCTGCTTGTGAGCAGCCAGGAACATTTATTTATTTACTACATTTAGTAAAGGTAAAGGTTTCCCTTGCTTGAAAGCCAGTCAAATCCGACTCTAGGGGGCGATGCTCATCTCCATTTCCAAGCCAAAGAGCCAGCACTGTCCGAAGACTTTCCATGGTCATGTGGCCGGCATGACTAAACACCGAGGCACATGGAACACTGTTACCTTCCCACCAAAGCAGCTGGTACCTATTTATCTACTTGCAATTTCTTGCTTTCGAACTGCTAGGTTGGCAGGAGCTGGGGTCAAAGACGGGAGCTCACTCTATCATGCAGCACTTGGGTCTCGAACTGCCGAGCTACCGACCTTCCCGTCTGCAGCTTAGTGTCTTAACCTCTGAGCCACCGCGGCTGCTATTTACTACATTTACCCCTGGCCTATCTCTCCCATATCATTCTCCTGCCCTCTGTTTTATCCTCACAACAGCCTTGCAAGACAGATTAGAACACTGTTGAAAGAGGACATTGGGCTGGATGGATGTTGGTCTGACCCAGCAAGGCTGTTCTTGTGATCTCATATCCCAAGCAGACACAGTATTCGAATAACATTGAAAGATGTGCCCTGGTGATGCTTAGTGGTAATACTGTTCCCCCCCCCAATAATTTACATTGTGCAACATTTTGTTACAGATCCTTGATGATGGACAGTCTCCCAAGCATAGCCAGTCCCCAAGTCGCACCGTTCAAGAATGGAGTGTGCAGCAAGTTTCCAACTGGCTAATAAGCCTGAATTTAGAACAGTATGTTCCAGAATTCAGTACCCAAAATGTAAATGGAGAACGTCTTCTTCAGCTGGATGGCAGTAAGCTCAAGGTAATTGCCTACCAGTGCTGGAAATAAAATCTAGAATTTTGTCACCAGGGGAATATGCTGTTATGGATAATGCCCCACATCACTGGGAAAGAATTCCCATAAACTCTGTGGCACGGAGGAAACCCTTGGTACCAATAATGTATAATAGAAAGAGTTTAAATTGCTGGAGTCTGTGATTGCACTGATGGTGTAACAGTTGGAAGTCTGAGACATTATTATCTCTGAACAATCAAGCCTTGGGTAAATGTTAACATCTAATGGATAATTTTGATATGCAAAGTTTGTCACAGGGTTTTCTAACGTGGAAAGAGACAGCATGGGAAAGTAAAGGAGATGGAAATACATGGTCACAACTGTAGCCCAGGATCCTCCTGAGTGCTACTTTTTGTTGTTGTTGTTCAGTCGCACAGTCGAGTCCGACTCTTTGCGACCCCATGGACCCACGGGAGAAGGAAATGGCAACCCACTCCAGTATCTTTGCCAAGAAAACCCCATGGACAGTAACAAATGGCTAAAAGGTGCTACTACCTATATACATAAAGAAGAACAATCTGCCTGGGGAAATTGTAATGAGATTCTCGAAGAGACACGTGAGGGATTGTATCCTAAGGGCGACGGCGGGGACACCTTTGAAAATTGGGGACAGTGCTATTCGGATCCTGAAAGATATTCCATTTGAAATAAGACAACGGAGAAAGAAGTACAAAGATTTAATTCTTTTTCGTCAAACAAATGCAATCAGCTACAGGTGGTTATACCCAGAAGGTGTAACCTTTAAACTTCAGGGGAAAAAAGAAAAGATTGACTCTGTATCCAAAGCACAGGACTTTTTGAGAATCCAGCTGGGTGAGCCGGAGGAGGTGGATAAAGAGGAAAAGGACAGTAAGTCCAGTGGCGAACTGGACTCGGGGTCTTCTGGAGAGGACTCTCTGTGTGATTGCACTGATGGTGTAACAGTTGGAAGTCTGAGACATCATTATCTCTGAACAATCAAGCCTTGGGTAAATGTTAACATCTAATGGATAATTTTGATATGCAAAGTTTGTCACAGGGTTTTCTAACGTGGAAAGAGACAGCATGGGAAAGTAAAGGAGATGGAAATACATGGCCAGGAATGTTGTATCTCTAGACAAGTAATGAGGAATTATTTCAAATTTCAATTTTTTCTGCACTTAAGTGGCTGACTCCATCACTCTGCAGTATTAAATGGGTACTTTATCCTACTTGGGTAGTGAAATTCCTTACGAAGGTGCCAACAGACAATGTGAATGTAGAAAATGCACTGTATCACTGTATTGTTAAAAATTACGTTTTAAAAAAACCCCAAAACGTGAAGGAGAAAACCTGGTTTTATTCTAGGCATTTCTTACATGTACACAGCCATCATTTTGGATCTCATAACCTGTTCCGTCTAGCGCCAAGTCAGAGTCAGCAGCGCCTTCTGGACGTGATTCAACGCACGGCCAGAGTAAAGTAGAATTAAATCATTTTTTATTAAGCTCCACATGCATTCAGAAGATTTCTTTACTCACAATCAAAGCTGAATAACTGGTGAAATTCACATCTTTGTAATCTAATTCAGTTCACTGGCTCATGGTGAAAAAGATTGCGTGCTCTCACCTCCCTTGCCTTTTAAAGAGTAGACAAAGAGACGGGAAGAAGGCTGTAAACTCAAATCCCCGTGCCTCTGGGTGCAGGAAATGACTGTTAATCAGCCAGTCACAGGGATGCTTTGGGATGTCTAACTAAAGACTTCAATTCCCAGGGGCAACTGCTCTTAAAGATATATGGCAGTTCTACTTAACTACAGTTAAACGCTGGCTGGGGGCAGCACATAACCCATACCCAAATACTCACTTCCCCTCTTGCACTCACAGGCTCTTATTTGTTTGTTTGTTTGTTTGTTTGTTTATTCACATTATTATTTATTATTATTTATTTCATTAGACTTTATATCCCGCTCAAACCCCCTTCCAGGGGTCTCTGAGCGGCTTACAGGTCGGTGCTAATCACCATTTATTTCCCTAACTAGGGCCACATATGTAGGGGTGGGACTACCTACCAGCACCCCTATAGTAGTGGTTGGAGTTGTTTCTCGGCTCGGGTCTCCAGGTCTTCTTCCGTGTTGTTATTATTGGTAGTCTCTCTGGCGGGGGGTCGGCTCGGCACTCAGATGGCAGATCTCATTTTTCCCTGAGGCGCGCGACTCACGCCTTCCTCCGGCCCAGCAACGTCCTTACGGCTCCGCTGCGCCAGCATTCGACGTCATCACGTGCCTTTTCTTGATTTGTAGTCCACCTTTCTCAATGCAAGGCAGATTACACATAGTGAGCCAGTAACAATCACGAAAATGGGACATTCAGTAACCAATGCATTAGGATTTTAGAAGTCTGGAATCACCAGGAAGAACCGAAGCAATAGCATAAGTAGTTACGTGACATCACACCAAACCATGGTGTAATTAAGCTAACTATGGTCGGCATTGCCGACCATGGGCCACTCCAGTATAGTGAGGATATGTCAAATCAGAGAGCTGACAGGAGCACTTCTCCGTTGGGGCTCCAGCCCTGCTCTGTATGCTGCTGCCCACCACGGTTTGTTTATTTAGAATATTTCTATGCTACCTCCTCAGAGTCCTTCTGAAGGCAGTGTACGATTAAAAACCTCGGTATAAAAAAACAGCATGAAAACTGTCCATAAAACAGAGCAGACCGTTAAAAAGCTGATAGGATAAAATCCCTAATTAAAAGCCTGGGTAAAATTAAAAGCCTGTGTTTTAGCCTAATGCCTAAAAGAAAGTAAAGTAGGTGCCAGGCAAGCCTCCAGGGGGAGGTCGTTCTAGATGCCACCACAGAAAATGTCCTGTCTGTAGTTGCCTCCTGCCTCACTGCTGAAGACAGGGACAGAGAGAGCAGGGCTTGAGAGGCAGATCTTAACTATATTGGGATGACTGGTATAGGAGGAGACGGCCCCAAGCCAATTCACAGCCTTAAAGGTAAGAACCAGCACTCTAAATTATGCCCAGAAACAGACGGGCAACCAGTGCAGATCTTTCAGCTTGGGGGTGATATGATGCCTGTAACCAATCCTTGGCTGCTGCATTGTAGACCAGTTGCAGTTTCTGAACTGTTTTCAAACATGGTCCCACATAGAGCGCATTACAGTAATCTCACTTGGACGTGATCAGACATAGATCACTGTGCCCAGGTCGTGCTTTTTGAGGAACGACCGTAGCGGGTAAACCAGCTGGAGCTGATAAAAGGTGCTACATTCCACCGAGGAGACCTCAGGCTACAACTGTAGCCCAGGATCCTCCTGGGTGCTACTTCTTGTTGTTGTTCAGTCGCACAGTTGAGTCCGACTCTTTGCAACCCCATGGACCCATGGGAAAAGGAAATGGCAACCCACTCCAGTATCTTTGCCAAGAAAACCCCATGGACAGTAACAAACGGCTAAAAGGTGCTACTACCTAGCTACAAATCTGCTCCTTCAGGGGGAGTACAACCCTATCTACAACAGGCTGCCTTCTCACTCCCCAGGCAGCTTCTCCATTGACTAACAGCAACTCTGTCTTATCTGGATGGAACTTCAGTTTATTGGTTCTCATCCATCCCATTATCTTCTCCAGGCACCTATTCCAGCCTTTCATAGACCCAGCTGGCTTTGTTAAAGAGAAATCGAGCTGGGTGTCATTCGCATATTGATGACACCTCACTCCAAGTTCCCATATGTCCTCTTCCAGCAGTTCCACGTAGGTGTTCAATAGCACTGGGGCAAAATGGAACCCCATGGGACTCTATAGCATAAAAGCCATGGTGTCGAGCAGCAGTCCCCCAGCACCACCTTATTGGAATCGGTTGATCAAGTAAGAGTAGAACCACTGAAGTACAGGACCCCCTACTCCTGTCCCAGGTGGCCTGTCCAGAAGGATGCTGTGATTGGTATTGAAAGCCATTGAGAGGTCCAAGAGAATCAACTGGTCCTGCTTCTGCTGCCTCCTATCTCCTTCCAGCTGTTACCCAGTATGCAGAATGGGGATGGAGCTCAATCTCTTGGGGAGTCTGTTGGGGGAAGAGAGAAAAAGGGGTAATTCCCAGCCCTCAAGCACTGATTACAGGGCAGCCTGGGCGGGGGAGGGGTAGCTCCTTTCCCAGCTTCTATACCAGCTCTGCACACCAGTACAGAGTAAAAAGCCCTCTGGGTGAGTGGGGGAGGGGCCCATCTACAAAGGGACAAGGGCTGTGAAATGATGCTAATATGGGTATCAAGGTTAAAAAATCAAAATGTCTCCTGTCCGCATGGCAAGCGAACCTGCTTTGGCTGCAGTCTTTCAAGAAAGGTTTGGGAAAGGGACTTCCGGTTTATGGTGGCGCGCTAAGCAGTCACACCTCCCGGGGGTGAAGCTGCACACAGGCAGAAAGGAGGGGGGGTGATGCATCACACACACACACCCCAGGAGCCTGGCGAAAGGCTCCTGGCCAAGGGACTTCTGAGAGGTCGCCTCTTCACCAGCGCGATGCTGGGGAATCGAGGCGCTTCTCCATCCCCATTCTCCCTCTGCTGAGTGTCCGTAAGGAACTAGTGACGCTGACTGGGACCAGCGCAGGAGATCGAGCGGCTAAAAACGAAAGCAAAGCGAGGTCGGATGACCAAACATGAACGTGAGTCAGATTAGAGCGGTATTGCTAAGTTAAAAAGAAAGCTCCCCCACCCCACGGACTAGAGAGTAAAGCGAGCGGGGGAGGGGCCCCTCCCATGTGCATAAACTCACAAGCGAGATCTGGGGGGGGGAGCGGAAGTAAAAGCGGCAGAAACTGTTGGAAAGACTTACCAAGGCATGTACAAGCGCATATTCAGAGACTTTTAAAAGTTTGGCGAAAGTAAGCAATCGATAAAGATGGCGGGGAAGAGGACGGAGAAGAAGAAACTTTTAAAAACAAAACCAGCCGAGAGTCCACGACCGGAAGGAACCACCGAGTTGGCTAAAACGATGGCAGAGTCCCTGCGCCCCCTGCTGGAGCAGATGACTAACCTCAAGGAGCAGCTGTCAAAAATGAATCTATGTATCACCACACAGCAGACACAACTCAACGAGACTCTTAAAATCATGGATCAAACAGCTGAGAAAGTGAAAGAGGTTGATGCCACTGCTCAAAAGGGGAAGAAAAAGGTGCAAAAGTTGGCGGGAAAGCAAATTTCAACAGAAGAACAACTTTTACAGTTACAAATGGAGAAGGCAAACCTGGTCCTTCATTTCCAGGGTGTTCCAGAGAGCAGAGGAGAGAATCTGAAGCAAATGATGAGCGAAGCATTGGCCCCAGTGACAGATCTGAAGGCGGACTATCTTATGAGCGAAATGGATATGGTCTACAGGTCCTACTCCATATACATAAAGAAGAACAATCTGCCTGGGGAAATTGTAATGAGATTCTCGAAGAGACACGTGAGGGATTGTATCCTAAGGGCGACGGCGGGGACACCTTTGAAAATTGGGGACAGTGCTATTCGGATCCTGAAAGATATTCCATTTGAAATAAGACAACGGAGAAAGAAGTACAAAGATTTAATTCTTTTTCGTCAAACAAATGCAATCAGCTACAGGTGGTTATACCCAGAAGGTGTAACCTTTAAACTTCAGGGGAAAAAAGAAAAGATTGACTCTGTATCCAAAGCACAGGACTTTTTGAGAATCCAGCTGGGTGAGCCGGAGGAGGTGGATAAAGAGGAAAAGGACAGTAAGTCCAGTGGCGAACTGGACTCGGGGTCTTCTGGAGAGGACTCTCTGTCTGAGAAGGGGGCAGCGGCTCCTAAAAGTCCTTATAAACTGCGGAAGAGACAAGATAAGAAAAAATGAGGGTTGAAGGACTCTGAATGGTGCCTCTGATAAATATTGGGGGTTTTTAACATGGAGATGCTGAGGGGTCTTTTCATAACAATTAAAGTTAAGATTTAAAAGTCATAAAAGCATGTCTGACTAAGTTCATAAAACGTAGCATTTTAAGATTTGGCATTGTATATAAGCTAATTTGATGATCTCCTCTCTTTGGTTTTTAGTCAGTAGTGGTTATCTTTCCTTTCTCCTCTAAATGTAGTACCCCTCCCTTATTCTCATTATAGCTTGTAGTCTATATAGAAAATGCAATTAAAAAATCCCCTTCGGGGGGCCAAAAAAAGAAAGAAAGGTTTGGGAAACAATGGGGCTAAGTGGGAGCGGGAGACTCCAGAATGAGAATGGTTAGAGGATGATGTTTTGGGGATCCTCCAGCAAAAAAAAATAAATTGCTGTGGTTTGAAGTACAGCAAAACAGCAGTGTGGGAAGCAGCCCCCATTTGCATGATGTTGGTCTGAACCTGGACACATCGTCTCTAAGGGATCAGCCTTGGGAAACCTTTTCAGTCAATTTCCGGCATGCACGCAGCACCCTGACTCAATATGCTGTTCATCCTGCCAGTACCCTTACCCTAACCCTAACCCTCTCCCACCATCGGCACACAGTGGATGAAAAAAATCTTACAGTGGAGCCACCTGAGGCGAGGGCATAATTTTCTGCAAACCTGGAGACGTGCCAGGTTTGCAGAAAAACACCACATTGTTTTTTTCAAGAATTGACAGGTATCACACCACAACAAAAAAGTACACAAGTACAACTGCAGTTATTGATCCCACCACAACAAAAAAGTACAGAAGTAAATTGTTTTTTCAAGAATTGACAGGTATCCCACCACAACAAAAAAGTACAGAAGTACAACTGCAGTTATTGATTATTATTTTTTTAAGTTCAGGTGCTGTAGTTTGTAAAACACAGTGACCATGGCCACCACATTAAGAAGACAAGGCTATAGCTGGCTATGATTTGCCTGCACCACCTACAGGCTTCCTCCCCAGCCAACTAACCAGCCAGCAAGTGCCCAGACAGTGTAAATAGGGGAAACGGTAAGGGCAAGGCGTGTGGCCAGGCAAACCGGTGACTGCAGGAGGAGGGTGAGGATGAAGACAGAAAGCAGAGCAGAGCTAGAGAGGGAAAGCAGGGGGCAAAGAGAAGAAAATGAAAGAAGCAGATGACAGAGCGGGGGGGGGGGCCAGCATGGTGGAGAAGGACTGGAGGAAACGGACACCAGCAGGGAAATGTGTTTTTTTTCTCTTCCGTGAAAGTCCTTTTGCAGGTCCCCCTCTTGCAACATTCTAATCCTCATGGCAAAGCAGGCATCAGAAAGCATCTTTCCATTGCCAGCGGTCAATAGGTGAGAAACACTCAGCTGCACAGGACTAGTTTATAACCAGAACTGCTGGCGACTAAGAAGTGGGAGGCTGTTCAAAGGAATTGGCATACACTTCAAGGAGCAACGGGCCTTAAGCAAAGGGGCTGAATAGGTGCATACAACTGCATTAGTAGCATGAGTTGGAAAAGTTTGAAGGCAGTCAAGCAGCATTGGACATGACACTGGCCCTGGGGTGAACGGTAGGCTAAAGAACCTGGAGTGGTTTTCCCTTATTCCTTGGCCTACTTTTCACACAAGGACTGATTCCATGTTTCAGTAGATTGTGGTAAGGAGACGGGGCCCATGCCGGGACATCAGCTGTAGAAAATACAGTCTTAGGGTTTCAAGATGCTGGCTGAATACTGACACCACCAACAAGCCTCGGTTTGATTGGAACAGCAGCAAGTCGAGTTCTTGGGTGCACACCATGGTGTAGAATCCTGTTCTGTAAGCAAGAAACAAACCACAGTTTGCAAAAGCACCTAATTCACAGTCAAAGACTTTCTTGTTTGCCATTTTGGTGCTATGCACGTGGGGGTGGAAGTTGCCCGAGGTACTGGGCTGAGGTTTGTTCATTACATCTGAACATCATTGTCGTGTTCTTGTGTAACTTAACTGGTTTTTGTAAATCACTTTAGTTCTGCCTTAAATAAACTGTTGTTGTTTCTTTCTTTTAACATTAGGCCCTTGGTATGATGCCTTCTCAAGACCGAGCTGTCATTAAAAAGAAAATTAAAGAAATGAAATCATCTATAGAGAGAGCTCGTAAAGCGCAAGAGAAGATGGAGAAGCAAAGGGAAAAGCTGAGGAAGAAGGAAAAAGAGCAGCTTCAGAGGAAGTCCAAAAAGCCTGACAAGCATTCCCCAGATCCAACAGATGGCGCTAGTGAGCAGTGATGCATAAGAGTTACTGTTCTATTAAGACTGGGAAGACGTTTTGGGAAGAGAAACGGAAAGAAAAAGCTTACTTCCCATCCTGCCAGTCTTCGTTATACAGAGCTCTGTACCGCCTAAGAAGGCTTTACATAGAATAAATGGGGGAAACGTACATTGCGTAGCTACACTTTCCTGCGGCTGTAAAATATGACCTGCTTAGCAGTTCCAAACTATGACGGCTAGTGCATTTTCTCATCGCTGTGCAGTCAAACCAAATGTCCAGCCCAGGACCAGCACAAAGCTCCTCCTTGCCCATCCCATCACTTCTGAGTCTATTCATTTGTAATAGGCTGGTTTGTTTCTGATCTCTTCGATTATCAGTTAGGCACAGTACTACATACTGACTACACTGTATGCGTGAAACTGCCCCTCTCAAAGGGCAACGCCCTGGAGGCTTCCACGGACTTCTTTGAAAGTGACTAAACTGGAATTAACTGCATATCACTTACCACTGATTTTCAAAAGAATGGCTGCCCTCTTTGGGCTGCTTTGAAAGTCACTCTGGAGTGGGATTCAGTTAGCAGCAATTCTCTGCGGAGAGGCTGCTCTGTACCAATGGCATAGTTGCGAGACTTGAAATTGTACACTGGAGATAAGAGGCAGGAGTCATGTCCTGTTCCTGTATAAATCAGAAGGGAGAGCAATTCCTGCGTTTCCCACCCACCCCCGACCCCCAGCCACCTGAATTGTACAGTAATTTAGCTCAAGAAGGAAGCAAAGCCTTAACTTGCTTATCTGGGCTTGGAGAGTAACATTTACCCTCTGGACAAAGCTGGATTTGTAATATTAGCACGGCTTGTGGTAGAACTTTAGAGTACAGGTTTTTTTTAAAAAAATAATAATTGTTGTCCTCGGGTCGGGGGCTATATACTTTCCTGTAGCATTCTCTGAGCCTTCTTTTCTTGAAAGACTGGTCTAAAAACAACTTTTTGTGTCTTTTGTAAGGAATATGCCCCACCTCTAGGTTTGTTTGTAGCACTTGGGGAGAGCAGAAGGAGGCTGACGGCTGTTAGAGATCTTGGATGTTATCTGTTCAAGCAACTTCTAAAATGAATTTTGCCAGCAAATGCACTTCTGAAAAGGGGGGAAGATGTCAATTGAGAAAGTGTGAATTTTTTACATTTTAGTTCCCTGTTAGTTTGGGAGGGGGGACCCAAAAGCAAACCACTGTTTTATTAAGCAAAACAGGGGGCTGGCCTTTGAAAGATCAGCTCAAAATATGTGAAGGAGGGAACAGTGACCAATATGGTTTTGTAACGATCCCTAAAGCAACAAACGCATGATCTCGCCAAAGTGGATGCACTTTTAAGTCTCATTTATTTCATGCTTAACCTCTCTCCCCCTGCCTTTTGGGAAATCATTGGGGCTTTAAAAGTATTTAGCGTCGCCGGAGTCATGCCTTGCCATGTTCCTCGAAAGGATGGCAATAGCCTTGATTCCCCCCCCCCCATGCATTTTAAAAATGTAAATAGGACAGAATTACAACCCAAGTGGTTAATTTGCTTTTCAGTTGGCACCTAATGCTGCTTTTTTACTACTAAGGAACAGAAGTTTCGACAGACAGAAGTTGGATTCAAATGTCAAAATCTATTAAAGGGAGTCTGTTAAACATCTGTACTTTGTTACCATGTCCAGAGGTGCTTCAAAGCCTTACTGCATGGAGACCAGAATGCTACAACAAGGTGTGGGGAGGTTATGTATCCATTTCGGCCATGATTGCTTCTGTGATACACGTGTGGCAACAGCTGGTTGAATAATGGCTGCATCCTTATCCTTAAATAGAAGTATTCCATGTCCCTGGTGCAACATTTTAACTGAAATCTGTAGCTAGACTCCTGGGCAGATTGGCCCTTTACCTTACTGGGAAAATTCTCCATGGGCCATTGCTTTGGAGAGCCACTGGTGGCCAGACGCAAGCCAAGCATCCTGCAGGACTGGCAATGTCACTTGATGGGCATAGCTTGCCCATCGTGTGCCACGGCTGAATGGAGAGGAGAGGCCCTGCCTTGCTTGCTCCTGGGTCACTTTAATGGCCCTGGCTAGAGTAGCAATGCTCCACTACCAAGGACTCTGTTCCAGATACCGAAATACCTCCAGTGACACGATAACACTTTATTGCACTGTCAGAAAATAGGTGGGCAGGTGGTGGGGCTGTTTCAGAAAGGACATTGAATGGAGAATAGTTACTCCTCTAGGAGGGAAATTCAAATGACAATGGAACAGAGGCCTGGTCAAGCTATTTATTTAAGTGATTACAACGTTTCTATTTCAGTAAAAGACAAATATCTGGGGGAAACTGGAGATATTTTAACTATAAAGTCAGTGAAGGCATTAGATGTTCATGTTCTCTTTTTAAGTTATGTTTACATTCTGGTAATTTAAAGTGGATGTATATATTAGTAATGTCGATGGGTGCATCTCTCTGCTTTATATTATTTATGAGTTTTTTCCCTCCTTTGTTTTTCTAAGACCCCAGGGGACTATATTGTGTTGTGTATTGATTTTTGCATACCTGCTGTTTAGAACTGCATAAATTGGGGGGGGGGGTTTCCTGCAGATAACTAATTTTGATTCATGTCCTGTAATTATTCTGTTCTTTGGTTTGTTGCTTTATGGTAATTTTTAGAGCTGAACAGTGAATTTTAGCCTAAAGGTTTTTTTATTTTAAAAAATGGGTCTAAATTTACTTTTAAGAAAGAAATGCATACAATACAAATGAACTAGTGTGTGCACAGACAGAGTTGCCAAAACCAGGCCAGAGTTCCATTCGTCCTTGCAGTGTCACAATATGCTTTATATTCTGCTATTCTTTGCTCTTGGAGATAGTAAAAAAATCTTTCCTGGTCCTTCTATTTTGTGAAGCTGTTTGTCATATTTACAGCATAAATATTTTAAATCTATCTCCATTACTTATTGTCCACTTCAAAGATGCTGGAAATATATTTCCTGCATCATAGGGAAAGTGTGGATGGCTTGAATGTTGCTAACACTCAGTCAGTGCCGCTTTGCCTTTATTAGGTGGCTGTCCAGCCAAGCAGAGCTTCTCTCATCTCTGCATCATTATATTGCTTACAAAGCTATGAACAAGAGTTGGGTTAGGAGTTGACAAACCTAGATAGGACAAGTGGTCAGCTCTCTAGAATTGTGGACTGTGGACTGCAAAACACCTTTTGGTGGTCAGTGGTGGCTGATGAGTGACTTCCATTTGTTCCTTCTGTCGTTAAGTCACGTATCACTATGTGTTCAACCCCAAGGGTGATCTTTACCTTGACTCCTTTCCAATTTATTCGCTTTTACAGGGTTCATCCCCATGCTGACAGTTTCTACCCTCCGCGTGCCAGGAAGGGACACTTTCGTTTCAGTCAGTGTTTTCACGTGTTACTAATCATTTGCATGCACAGATCATTTCCCAGTGGTGAAATCAGGGCACAGCAGCGCTTGGCCAAGGCCATGTAAGGATGCACCAGAAACAGAGCCATGTTTGCAGGTGCAAGGTGACTATAGGAGGGGCAGGGAACACCCTTACTTTATGTAGAGCCCAAACAATTTAGAAGCAATGCATTCTGATTGGCTAAGCCCTGCTCAAAGTGAGAGTGCTCCAGCGTCTTACTTGGTTGCCAGCTGATGTCACCCAATTACACTGTAGCCAGAGGAAGGGACTTAAAGTGCATGAAAGAGGAAAGCCAAGTGAGACATTGGGGTTTTGGAGCACACAACTGCCTAGAGCCACCCCTGCCTGAAGAGACCAGTGCTTGCTTGCCCCTTGGCTACTCACTGGAGCTTTGAGATTAGGATGTTTATTTCTGCCAGGCGCATCGGCATCCCTGAGCTTCATACATGTTGAATCCTTCCCATGTGGCTCTGATGGTTGGATTCCCAGTCCACTTAGAGGAAGCTAAATTTTTTGTTCTTTCCACTGAACTTTTCATTCATTATATGATACAATGAGTGACAACAGGCTTGCTTCCTTTTAAACTAATGTTTCAAATTTGCTTTTTCTGCTGCACTTTTCAATACTTTGGCACACTGCTTTCTGTACCATGCCTGAAAATGTTTTGCCAGACGTATAATACACATAAAGGTCTCCAGGTCAGTCTGACACACTGAAAGCCATTTTCAGAGTTTTCATACATGTTTTTAATTTAGAATGTATTCCGTTTGTTGGGCATTTGGGGAAGATATTTTCCTCTGTGTCTTCACATTTGTGATATATGAAAAACAGCTCTTGTGCTTTGAATTTGGAAGAGAAAATCCTGATCTGTCGATAACTCCTTTTTCAGTGTCTTAAACATCTCAGCTTGCTTCTTTGTTCAAAATACCACAAAGAAGAAGAAAAAAATGAAGGGTGTTTGGATTTGTGTAACTCCTACATAATCAAATGTAGGGGTGAAAATGTAGAAGTGATGTTGCCTCTCTTAAATATTTTGGTTAAATCAGAACAACACAATATTCTAGTAATGGGAACATTTTCAAAAGTGAGCTGCTTTGAATATATACTCCTGTGTGCTCATGTTTATTTGCACACAAATATAGTTGTGTTCCAAAGAAGTAAGAATCCTTGTAGACTGTACAGCCTAGAGATTTGGTCAGCTCAAAAGGGGTAATAGTCAAACCTCAAGGAAATGACACTTGATCGTAGTCGCAAGGCAGAGAAACAATTTATTCGGAGCATAACCACTCTTGCAGAAGTTTAGTGAGCAGTATGGGTTATGCATTACCTTTTATATAAATGAGGGAATATGACATTTTAAAGAAAATGGTTTCTTAAAAGTTCTATTTCCCCAGTGTTTTCTCTGGATGTCTTTCTGCATGTTGTCTTCTTTTTTTAAGTGGGATTGACTTACTAGAGATTTGCTATTGAAAAGAACCACTTTGGGGTGTGTTTCATAAACTATACACTTGAATTCTGTTGGAAAAGCTTTGAGAAGTTTATACCAAACTGGATTGTGACTTCAGAAAAGACTTTGGCCAATCATCAGACATGATTGTAGTCTCTTTGCATATTGCACGGTCCTTTAGGTTAACGTTCTTTTTCTTGGTTTATTGCTTTTTTCTGACACTTGAGAAAGTGTATGTTTGGACCACCGTGGTGCCACAGCCATTCAAATGAGCCATCCAGTGTTGTCCTGGGCACAAGGCACAAGAGACTATATTCTTTTAACTGGGGGAAAACAGAGATCTTTTGGGTCCATTGATTACAGGGTGCATGGTTGGTGTCTCTTTTCAGTTGGAAATTAAGCAATGTTGGAAATT